CACTAAACATACCATAGCGGGTCAAATGAACAATTTTGAATTTTTGCATTGAAAATTCACCTATCATCATATTATGGCTTTTTCACGCTTGACTCACACTCACACACGTTTGAATTATATTTTTATTTTTATTTGTTTATTTTGAGTAATACTTGCCGTGTACCGTTTTCTATCCGCTATGGTAGAAATATATACCAGTAAGTATTGGTATGATTAGTTTTAAATGCTTATATGTATGTAGCCTATGTATGTAGGTATGTTTATACCACGAAATAGCACGGGCCAATAACCCGTGACACCGAAGGCTTATTTAGAGATTGCTCATGTATTGACTTAAAGAAGAAACTGGAACACTTTGATGTATTGTTGTTGATGTACTTGTTCCTTTTACGTTAGATATCAGCTTGACGGTGATGGAACAGAATTAGTAAGATAATGATCGGAAGGTGGAAAATATCAGGTCAAATATCACCATCAGGTGGGCCGTATGCTCGTCTGCCTATAAGGGCAATAAAAAAAAAAAAATAAAAAAAAAATAATGCTGATATAAGGACAATGGTAACCTTACGATGCTCTTCTTAATTTATATATAGATTCATTAGGTAGAGTCTAAGAGATTTTTTTTTTAAAACACAAAATATACTTGAAGTCGTGGTCTAAAGGATAAGATCGCCAGCGTTCTCGTATCGAGCGATAGGACTATGTCTATGTTCAAATACAAAGTAGGTACGTACTTAATTTATGTTGACTGAATGAGGGCCTACGGGGGGGGCATAGTTACTACCGTACCCGATTTGAGAGTATGAGCTAAGCGGTAGTAAGACCTTTGAGAGGGCACAAGTCCTAAGAAATCAGACCATCTGGCATCTTGGATTTCGGCGATGCGAGACTTTTACGTCGCGTTGTAGGGCACGCATTCGAATACGATTTTCCGCGGTAGGATACCTATCGTAGGCGCGTATCGACGCTTTCTTAGCTCTAAGGAGTTCCCTAACATCGTCGGGCAATTTGAAGCGGTGAATGAACTCCGCGATGAAGGAATAACATCTTGTAAAAATAATAATAATAATTGGGAACAAATCACCTACGATAATCCGGCACCAAACTAGGATTCCCCGTGTTATGGGTACCAGAGACTGATATATGTACATACTTACATACGTTAAATATATACATATATAGATAATAAACACCCAACCAACTCGCGACCCTCGGCGCAACAGTCGGGGCGTTAATTACTGCGCCACCGAGTCAGTCAGTCAGTGTAAGAAAACAAATCCGCTGGGATTATGATATTCGTAATTACTATACAATAGTATTTACGACAAATTTCAAGGTTAGTGGCGGAATCCACTTTCTGATGTTTTTGAACCGTCAATGTAATAAATCAAAATTAGGTTTTACAGTTTTTTCGCTAAAACTTGACAATCGAAGTTCGTTTCGAAGTTCAGACAGGATAGTGATCGAGACACAATCGTCCCTAGTTCGTTTGTTTTACTGCTGTTAGGACGTCTTCTGAGTCTGAACTCATTTCTCAAGGTGGGTGGTGGCAGCATTTACATTGTAGTTATCTGTGGGCACCGGTTACCACTTAACAATTACAGGTGGGCCGTGAAAACGTCCACCCATCTAATAAAAAAAGGATGTTTAAATAAATAAAAGTCAGTTTTTTAACTAAATTTATTCTCAAAACTATGCTTTAGAAATTCTATTCTATAATTATTGAGTTCAGATCCAACACTGATTTTCCCCCAGTTTTCATTAAACTACGAAAATTAATATACAATATTTTAAGTAAGAATTAAATTTATAATAAATTATATGAATTATAATCTGCTGTTAAATATTAAAATGAGAAGAAGATGATTTAAAACACGAAGTACTCTTTTTACCTTTAAAAAAATTATAAAGAGAAAAGTAAATTGTAAACATTTTTTTATTGTTGATTACTTTAATTTTTTTTTAAGTTTCGTTTTAGTATTAAATTATAAATTGTTATACAAAGTCACTTTCTAACAACTACAAACATTTTCAAAACGTAATATTAGAAAAATTTGCCATTAATTAATTAAGAAATTTTGTACAGCTGATACATTATTTATAATTCTTTAAAAACCTACAAATCCTTTTCAAGTTTGCTGGAAAATTTAAATGCTTTTGCACCGAATATCAGATATATTTTATTCTATATTGAATGCAAAGAAAATGCTGGATGCGGTGAATGATATAATTTCCAACTGAGCCAAATGGGCCAACGTTTCCAGGCTTTACACAAAAAAAACCTTAAACACTCATGAATTTAAGACACATAATCATATAATATTCAATTCGATTCCATAGTTCTGAACACGCCGTAGGTTTCGGAGAGTTGAGCGACCTATTTCAAAGTCATTACCGAAAGTTGCCAGCCCGTACAAATTGTTTACAAATAAGATACATATTTTATTGTTTTTCGCAGGTAAGAATCTTCAAACTTTGTTTCATCTTTACATTATTAACTTTGGAAAACAAAACCAACAAAATTATCAGTTATTTATTTTTAGTAAACTGAAATAATTAGTTATTCTATAGTAATTAATAAGGGTTAGTAAAAGCATTTTTTTTCGTATACGGCACTACCGACATTTCCACTACGTCATAAAGAGACAAATATAGAAAATTACGAACCACCACGAAGAGCTTTACAATATAATGATATGATTGTCGAGGAAATGCAAACGCACAAATTACTTTGATTTGGTACCGATAGATAATAGGAACCTTGTAAAAACCATGTTATCATCTAGGTATAAGCTAAGAATTTTATACGATACCGACAAGGAATCTACATTATGACAGGTCGAGAACGCGCTAGCCCAATAACGGTGAGGGGGAGGGTGATGGGAGAGATGTGCTCCGCACTAAACGCTTCACTTTCCTCCTTTGGCTTTTCATGAGCTCTGTCTCATGCGAGGTTTGGATGCTAGTTGTTGAGCGACAGGAGGTTTTAGTCGGTTCGACTCTGACATGCTCCACCCTCCATCTCCAGTCAAGGGCGGAAGTCCAGCGATTTCCTCCTGACAAAAAAAAAGCCCAATAACGTCGATAAGAAATGCTCAACGTGGCGTTAAGTTGTCGCCGAAACAAATACACACCACGCTACAACGCGAACACCGTTTTAATAATGTCGAAGTTTCACATCCAATATATAACGGAAGTCCTACACTTCGAACCGGAAAAGTGACTTCGCGACACAAATAGGCAGGGCGGTGTCTACCTGAGAGCGAACATAAAACGCGATACGGTTTTTTCGGATAAGTGCAATAAAAAAAAATGCTACAATAAGTTTCATGATTCTTTACTGGTGGTAGGACCTCTTGTGAGTCCGCGCGGGTAGGTACCACCGCCCTGCCTATTTCTGCCGTGAAGCAGTAATGCGTTTCGGTTTGAAGCGTGGGGCAGCCGTTGTAACTATTTTTGAGACCTTAGAACTTATATCTCAAGGTGGGTGGCGCATTTACGTTGTAGATGTCTATGGGCTGTGAGCTCGTCCACCCATCTAAGCAATAAAAAAATCAATAAAACAACATGACGTGAAATTCGCCTTCAGTTACAGTAATAGTGTAATTCTACAACATCACTGATCAACGAACAGATGTTAGTATTACATAATATTAAATTTTAGCCTTTAAAAAAAATGTTTCCGATCAGATCGCAACATCAAAACTAACAATTCATTTTTGCTTTTAAACTTCGCGTAGTATACGACAAAACATGAATGCGAAATATGTACTTGAGCGTCGAATGTTGCAAAACGTTTCGAAAAAAACTTTGCGAATAAAGTTTCTGTCTCTTACTAACAATCTGAATTTCAGAAGGCAACGATGTATAAGTTCCGCTCGTTAAGCTCTCAACTTTCTGCGCTGAGCTGCTCGACTCGTAATTGTGCTTTTAAACAACAAAAGTCAAGTTCTTTTTTTATTTGCTTAGATGAGTGGACGAGCTCACAGCCCACCTGGTGTTAAGTGGTTACTGGAGCCCATAGACATCTACAACGTAAAATGCGCCACCCACCTTGAGATGTAAGTTCTAAGGTCTCAGTATAGGTACAGTGGCTGCCCCGCCCTTCAAACCGAAACGCATTACTGCTTCGCGGTAGAAATAGGCGGGGTGGTGGTACTTACCCGTGCGGACTCACAAGAGGTCCTACTACCACTAAAAGATCCTACCACCAGTATTAAATTATTTTTTTAAATATCGAGACGACGTATAGTTCTAAGTAAACTCGTTCTATTTCAGTAACATTAAAATTCAACATAATATATTAATATTGTTTTGTAATACATCATTTTTCATAATTACATTCATATAAAAATAAACGGTCCCAAAATAATTTCCCACTACAAGGTACTTAACATGTTGAATGCTAGACCAGAAAGTTTAGACAAATGGGCCGCACCGGGCACTCAGTGACCGCCAATAAGTCGAGTCCAGGAGGTCGCGATGGTCACTGTATGTCTGCCATTTGATATATTTCGAAAAATAATGAGTAGTCGCTGTTTCTGTAACTATACTGATACCTTAGAATTTATATCTTAAGGTGGGTTTTATTTTATTGCTTTGATGGATGGACGAGCTCACAGCCCACCTGGTGTTAAGTGGTTACTGGAGCCCATAGACATCTACAACGTAAATGCGCCACCCACCTCGAGATATAAGTTCTAAGGTCTCAGTATAGTTACAACGGCTACCCCACCCTTCGAACCGAAACGCATTACTGCTTCACGGCGGAAAGAGGCGGGGTGGTGGTACCTACCCGTGCGGACTCCCAAGAGGTCCTACCACCAGTGGCGGCATTTACGTTGTAAATGTCTACGGGCTCCGGTAACCAGTTAACACCAGGTGGGCTGTGAGCTCGTCCACCCATCTATACAAAAAACTATAAAAAAAGTTATTTCTTGACAATATTCGCGAAAAAACACCTCAGCGATTTTTGGATAATTCTTGATATATTGATGCGGCATGGTGTTCAACGTGTTAAATAAAATAAAAAAAATAACTCATAAAATACGTACAGTTTATATATAAATAACGTTTGTAATGAAATATTATTTATCACAAAATATTAGCTTGATTTGGCAATATTTATAAATCTACACCACGGTGTCAGTAACGAGAATTACACATAGAGTATAAAATGATTTGAAAATACACTATAAATAGGTAACAGTACATACAACAGTCCTAGAGAATTTAAACTACTAATTTATCATTTAGATTAAATACTACCTATTTGTTTCATGATCGATTACAATTAACAATTTAACGATATTTATCTATATATTTTTTATAATTTTGTTTAGATCATAAAATAGGAAATAAAGTTCAAATCTACTGTAATTTGTAAATATAATTACACTATCAAGATTGTTTTATTATAAATAATTTAATTATATCTTTATCGAAAAAAAAAGCATCGTTTAAGGTACCTATTTACTTATCGTCGTAAACTATGTGAATTACTTACGTCAATCGAAATCACGCAATTCGAATTATATTTAATTGATATTGCCATTGATGCGAAAATTATTATCTTCTAGAAATGCAAATCGCGCACCTATTAACAGAACGCCCGTCATATACGTATAAGTCCGGTAGCTATTCACGCACGAACACAAATTCGTTGTAATGGTTCCAACGATTCTCTTCAGAGTCGACGCCGGGTTTCAGTTCGGCGGCTCCACCGGCGGTCCCGCTGCCACAGCTGGCCGTCAGTTTGAATCCGTTCTCTTGCAACATGTCGAAAGCCTGCTCGATGAAAGAATGCTTCAAGAAAAATCGCGACGTGTACCTGTCGGCCAGACCATGGTCAGGGTCGCGAGACTCGTTCAATGTCTCGCCGAAGACGTCTCGACACAGCGTTACTTTACCGCACACGAGAATGCGAGACAACTTACGGAACTTTACATCGGCGAGGCCGTCGCGTCCGAATGCAAAACTGCCCCGGTATCCCACCGTGATGCATCCTCGCTCGCGATTTGGCGGACGAGGATCTGCTTCTCGGACTGCATTCTCGAGCCCCACTAGTCTGTAATGTTTGGCTTCCCTCGCGAGGCGCTTGTGTTCTCTGAAGCACTCCGGCAAAACGAGTCCACCGTCTCTGAGGTAGTCGAGCACATAGCGGAAGAGAACGCCGTCTCTATCGAAGAAGATGCGACCACGAGCGTCGCGCGGATGGTCGGGATCTTGAAGCGCGGCGGCGGGCAGCGAGTCTGGCTCGCGTATCAGCGTATCGCGCGTAGTGGCATAGTGCACGCCGCCCACGTTGAGCTCGAGGACCTCAGGCGGAGCGTCCGCCATGGTTAGAGGCTGAGGGCGCAGTGTGGCAGCGGCTGCGCGCCCCGCTCCCTCCCTGACCCACTTACCGCACGTCTCGGCGCCGCGCGAGCCCATCAATAACGCAAGCCCGGGTTACTGACTCGAACCTAATTATTTCCTACCCTTCCGAGCGAAAACTCCGTAAAAGCTTTCAAGGTCGAAATCTATTGTTAGCTAACAGAATGCATTTTATTCTTTGATTCGTCGGAATGTATTATTAAGGGAGTTTTATTTATGAACCTCATAAAGCTGGCATCAAATTGCCGAAAATATTTTTACTGATATCATAGCAAACATTATTGTTGTTTTTGCTACATTTTATTTTTTTAATACCAATAAACTTTTTATAGTTTTTGTTGTTGTCATACGTCGTTTTCAGGTGTACTACTTAGTACCTAAGTATTCAAAAAAATTAATTATCAAACTAACAAAATAATTCAATCACTAAAAAAGTTTATTGGTATTACAAGAATAGTTGTTTGTAAACATAGAGATCACCTGTAGGTCCACCTGTAACGTCATTTCAACGAAGTTTCATTTTTGTACAGTTATGAAAATCATTTTTGAATAGTTTTGGATATTCTTGGTAATCGTCAAAAATGTAATTAAAAAATTGTAATGTTTTAGATTTTCGATTTTAATACTATAAGTTAGGTATACGGTTGATTTAAAAAGAGTCAGAAAAAGTATTGTTCTTTTCTAGACTAAAAGGGACTGCTTAATTTTATAAACTTATAAAATACATGCATCGATATTACCACAATACATGTTTATAGATTGTACAAAGTATAAAACTCATTTTCTTTAATTCTAAAGGTGCGACTCGTAATGTATTTTGGCAAAGTAACGTTTTTAGTTTGTATGGTAATATATTAAAGAGAGCAAGTCAAATGCGCTGTTTTGTTAAGAACCTTTTACGTCAAGTGAAGATTAGATTTCCCCGGAGAGTCATCGCCACCCGATAAAATGGAATTTACTCAGACTTTTTACTTATTACTCGAGCGATGTCTTGTTGAAACCTTTTCGTTTCTACGCTAGAAACGTAGCTATAGACATTTTTGTATGCATTAGTGAGATTAAAGTCCACATATTATTCGGATGTAAATAAAATGTCTAAGCCCTATATAGCTATGCATAGTAAGGATGCAGTAAAAGAAACATCAAAAGAAGAAACAGAAAAAGTCCAACCTTGAGACACGATGCAATTGATATATGGAGATAAAAACCAAGGAGGGTTGACGTTAGAGAGGCAGCTGGTCGTAAAGTACATTTCAAATCCCTACACGGCATGATAAGAGGACAGGCTGTGTCGACCTCACGTGTGAGACAAGGGCAAGAGCAAGAAGATATGTAAGTAACGGGGTCGTGTATGAAATAAAACAAAACATGCAAGATTCAATCGTTTATTAAAATTAAATTAGCTTCTTACATAATATGGTATTGGAAGTACCGCAGTCATGGGTCGAGCATATCACATTAAACTTCGGGAATACCGACTAATAATACTGAGATATTAAAGTGATTAGCAATTTTAATGGTCTTTAGCAATACTGAAATTATCATAGGTCAATTCAGAGATCTCCTTCACGTTCCTGAACTCGACTTTGTCGATTTTACTGCTCGGACTTCCTGTTGTTTTAAGCCAGTGCATCCTGTTGAAAAGGGTAAAGTTTAAAATATACAAAATGTTATTTAGCTATGTACAATATCAATCAATGTTTACGTTATGTTACTGGTGGTAGGACCTCTTGTGAGTCCGCGCGGGTAGGTACCACCGCCTTGCCTATTTCCGCCGTGAAGCAGTAACGCGTTTCGGTTTGGAGCGTGGGGCAGCCGTTGTAACTATACTGAGATCTTAGAACTTATATCTCAAGGTGAGTGGCGCATGTACGTTGTAGATGTCCATGAGGTCCAGTAACCACTTAACACCAGGTGGGCTGTGAGCTCGTCCACCAATCTAAGCAATAAAAAAAAAACGTCAACCTGTCATTATGCTTTACTCATCTTGTATGTGCAGTTTATATGAACTTCAATAATGAGGTAAATGACGAAAATAAAAAACATACATACTTGTACCTGCTGTTCAATATATGGCACTTTTCTTTCGTAAAAGTTGCATATAGGTATGTGGGATTCAATTTAATTTGTATATAGGACTCTGCTGTTTCACTAGAACTGCCATACAAAAACACGTTTTATTGTGTAGGTAATTTTTTGGAATGTCATTATGTTACAGAGTTTGTAGAAAAAACTCGCAGTTTTTTAAATTTAATAATTGCTTGATTGTGCAAATAGGAATAAATATAAAGGGATGAAAGGCTATTTGGTTAGAAAATTCACTTAATAAGCGACTTTTACCTTTGTAATTAAAGGTGCATTTTATTTAGTATTAGCAATAAAATACCCGATTCTGAGGACCGAATGGTAAACAGTCGACGTTGCCCTAAACACGTCATTACGGATCCTCCCGATCCATTAACGGTGCTTTTAGGTACCACAAGCACCGGTCACCATCCTCGTCGAACCCGTCGCTTGCAAAGAAGGGCTCGACGAGTAAATTAACCCATAGACACAACCCACTGAGTTTCTCGCCGGATCTTCTCAGTGGGTCGCGTTTCCGATTCGGTGGTAGATTCTGCGAAGCACTGCTCTTGCTAGGGCCAGTGTTAACAGCACTCCCGGTTCACCTACACGTAAAGGAGAACCTGAAATAGCCTCTCAAGGCTATCAGCATAAGTAGGAAAAATAATAATTAGCATTAACAGTTCGACGTTTTTAATTGAACGCGTTACTTTTTTTTCCCTACCTAAGCTTAAAGCCTTGAGAGGCTATTTCAGCGTAACCTTAACCTTACTAGTAGGTGAGCTCACGGGGCTCAAACCTGACGACGTTGCTAACACGAACCCTAGCAAGAGTCGTACTTCGCAGAATCTACCACCGGATCGGAAACGCGACCCACTGAAAAGATCCGGCGCGCAACTCAGTGGGCTGTGCGTCACGATTTTGTGATATCGATATAGATTTTTGAAAGACCATCAAAATTAAAATTAATTTTAAGCTTTTTACTATGTAGTTTTTATTACGTCTAATACATACGGCAAACAAAAAAAGTACAACATAAATTTTCTTTTGAAATAATTTGGTAGGTACCGAATCCGTCAAAATACCCTTTCTTGTTCAATTCTTAATACCCTTGTAAGTTTGGGTACGGTTTTCTCTCGCTTCCAAGATTCCGCAACTAAATGATAAAGTTTGAAAACTTTATAATTTTGGCTTCAACTTTTTCAGTAATTTTAGTCTGAAATTACTTTCACTACATACCTACATAGAACACGGGTGGGATAATGCTATTTACGAAAAATATTTCAAGGCAAATATCGTACCTATATGCAGCTTTTTTATTATTTCTAAATAACTAACAAAATTGGTTTGTGTAAATTTGTAAAACCTATACCTATTAATCTTAATATTAAAACTATATACATGTATTTATTAATTTATCTACGTATTAATAAGTACCCATTGGATTTGGACTTGTATATAAAGGAAAAAAGCAGGCGTTACATAAGACATAAGATTAAGTTTTTTTTTTATTGCCCTTGTAGGCAGACGAGCATACGGCCTGATGATGAGTGGTTACCGTCGCCCATGGACTTCAGCAATGCCAGGGGCGGAGCCAAGCCGCTGCCTACCTAAGTATTGTAATATTAGTTTAAGCGGTTTTAAGATGTACTATAATTTCGGTTTTGTGGTTTGTGTAAGTTATACTTTTCATTTTACGAGTATTATAAGCGTGAGCATTCTTGATGACCATAGAACCTTTTAATATGCGTTGGCCGATTTAAACACCTGATTAATTTTATTTGGCTGCTGTAGGTCTGATGTGGACAAAAATTCAAGATCAACTGTCCTCTATTAAACCCTAAGATCTATAAGGGTCCAGATTTAATTTAGTTTAATTAGTACCAAGCTTACGGATTTATTTAAACTTTCGCGGTAATCTACATTACAAACATTATTATTTAGCGGGTTATTTTTTTACCGATTTTGTTGACACCGAAAGTGTATAATTATTGTGTAATGTTAATGTCGAAGTGCGTCGTATCTATAACCAGATTGTGGGTATTATTTTTACTTTTAAAGATCAGCTTTTCTGAACGTAATGTGAAGGCTGCGAACATCGAGACATATCTAAGCTCGAAATTTACATTTCTGCCCGATTCTTCAAATCGATATGAACCGTTCTGGTTCATCAAGCACGAGTGCTTTGTAACAAGATGTTGGTACCAGTCTTTGCGAGCTTATCTGTAAAATAAACTAAACCAAATGTGCCTGTCACATAATTTTAATGTATTTATTATGCTACATAACAGTTCTCATTGTGACTCATTGTTAAGGAATAAAAGACGATCGTTAACAGACACTGCTTAATATCTTCATGCAACATAGGAAACTTCGAGCAACAGTTACTATTGTTGATCGAAGATAGGAAACGTCTATTTCTTAGGGTAAATTCTCCAGATCTTAACATATACACTACTACTCTTTTTTGGGATGGAAACATTGTGATTGGTCCTGAGGCTTTACCTCTTAGATAGATAGATCACAGAGTGGATCACCAGTGGTAGGAGCTCACACAAATGCAAGAAGCATCCATATCCAAACATGAAATAACTCGTTCTTACATTCATTATTTATTGGGAATTACCGACTTGTAGTAGCTACTTGTATCACACAGACACAATTCTTCTTTTTCTCGACCTTATCCCACTAGGTGGGGTCGGCATAGCTAATTTTTCTCTCAATTTCTCTTCAATCAGCCATCATCTCAACACTCACTCCTCTCTCTCTCTCTCTCTCATTTCGTCATTCACACACTCCATCTATGTCTTCTTCGGTCGACCTCTTCCCCCTCTACCCTGCACTACCATTTTCATACATCCGAAGTGCCACCATTACAGTGGCTGCAACGAGGATACGGCAAAGCACACGCTCGCGTACTGCCCCGCTTTCGCGGAGCAGCGCCGCGTCCCCGTTGCAAAAATAGGACCGGTCTTGTCGCTTCCGACCGTCGTGGCTACGATGCTCGGCAGCGACGAGTCCTGGCAGGCGATGCTCGACTTCTGCGAGTCCACCATCTCGCAGAAGGAGGCAGCGGAACGGGAGAGTGAGAGCTCTTCTTCCCTCTTGGCGCCGTGCCGGAGGTCGGAGGAGGGCTTTTGTCCAGCTCTAGCCCCTTTGAGGAGGCAGTTTCCTCCCAGTGATGGTCACGGGGCGAACTAACGTTGACGTTGGGGTTGACGCTGTGCCGCACGCTACCATCACTCTAGCGCGCTGGCACCTGGAGGACGGGACGACACGTCGGCGGCCTGCGTTACGTATCGCATTCTCATCGTCGGTGTCGTCGCCGAACATACTGTGGAAGAGCAACCCTGTCGGCGGTGTATCGCGTTCCGACCTGATAGGTTGGTTCTGGCCCAGCGGGGTATCCCGGAACACCAACGGCATCGCCCGGGCGGCCTGGCAGGGCCGCCATACCGCGGAGACTGACGTCGTTGGTCGTCGACTATCGCCTCGACGACTCCTCGATCGAGCGTCCTTAGGGTGGCGCCGCGTGTCTGGTGACCGCGGGAACCCCTCTACTCTCACCGGGTTCTGACCCCAGACGGAGATCGGACTTCGGGTGCAAGAGTGCAAGGGAGTCGCTTAGGGCGGTAGGGCCCTAAAATTTCTTGGGCCTGCGGTCTGCTCCCAACACCTGCAGATCATAAAGTCCCACATACCCTGCGCGCCCCCTAGGCGCGGGGACCTCGTAGAAGGTTCGGCCCCCGGAACGAAAATAAAAAATACCATTTCCATACATCACAGACATACTTCTTCTTCTTCTTCGTCGCTTTCTTCATTGCTGAAGGTCGTGTCCCTGAAACTTGACCGTTGCCTGTCTCGTGAGCTGTTTCCATCTTGACATACACACAGACACAATTACGATGGATTTTATTCAAACAATGGTGTAGGAAGTTTTACTAGTGTTTAAAATGTCGCTTCTCTTCTCTTAAGAACTAAGCATGAATATTTACGTTTCCACCCAAATATAACTAACTATATTGAAATCAGAGTGAATGATGCACACAAAAGTGTTTCAAAAGGTGAGTGTCAAGGCAAGCCAGCAAGTCCAGTCATATACCAGCCAAGCTACAGTGAGATTTGCTCTTCATTAAATAAGGCTTGACAGCAGGATGATGGCAATAGCATAATATCTCTTCAAAGCTAGTCTTTTGGACACCATAACATTTTATTTAGCGGGTATCCATTCCACCTCCCAAGTCTAATTACATAATTTAACAATAGTCATTTCTATGATGCAGTCGTAAAGATTCATCGTACATCAACACAACAAAAAGGTACCAGTACTAATTACTGGGAATAGAATTGCAATGCAATATCGATATATATAAAAATGAATTGCTGTTCGTTAGTCTTGCTAAAACTTGAGACTCGAGAACGGCTGGACCAATTTGGCTAATTTTGGCCTTGAATTATTTGTGGAAGTCCAGAGGTTTATAAGGTAAATAAATGTAAAAATGCTCAGAATGAAATCAAAATAACAATTTTGTTTTTCCTTTGATGTGTCCCCAGTCGGACGGATTCCGTTTGTTTGTTTTAGGTTTATTTTGTAAAAAAGTTTAGGTCTTTTATTTATCGATTGAGGCACTACAAAGTCTGCCGGGTCAGCTAGTTTTATAATATATATTTTAAGTGTCAGATTTGAATAACAAAATTTTAACCAAGGAAACTGATACTAAATTTAAAAATTCACGTAACTACACTTACATGACTTCAATTTTATCTAGAGTGCCTTGCATGTGTCCCAAGACAGTTCCTTGAGCTGTGTTTTTGCACCAGCCTCGAAGTCCCAGTTTATCGGCTTGCTCTTTGGTATACTGTTGTGAAGGAAATGTTTTTTGTAAGTATTCACTAAAGACTACATAGATTTTGGAGTCATTTTTGTGTTGAATATGGTATTCACACAACCGCTTATTTTAGAGTTTGTAAGTAACATTTATTTAAATATAGTAAGTATTGATTGGTCGCAAAACAATTATTTTTTAAAACATTGCTATTTAACATTTTATTAATTACGTGTTTAGTTTCGAAGCGTTACACTGCATTTCCATCAGATGGATTAATAACGCATACACTATTCTCTACCATCATAATGAGTAAATATTCTTAATTACATACTTTTCGGAAGAAAACTCCTTGAACCCGGCCAAACACTTCAAAATCCAGAGCCCGAAACATAGTCGCTATGATAGGACTGCAATTAACGCAGCACTCTCGTCACTGCCAGTATTAATAAAATGCGGAGCATTTAGTGGCGACTTAAAAAGTCACGATAGTAAATGAGTATAATAACAATAATATTATTACAAGTAACACAACAGAAATCAATTCAGTGAATTCAAAAGTTCAAGATTCTAACCTCACTTTATTTTTAAGTATGGCAATCGTTGAAAAAACCACTTTGTGCAATACACTATGGAACCAATAGCTTATCTGAAAACGTCTGCAGTTTTTGAGATTTACTTTTTGACGAGAATATATTATTATTATGTACCTACGGAAAATTTTCGAATTGCTATATTTTTGTTAATTTAATGCTTATTTTATTCATTATAGCTAAAAATTAAACCTTCTCCTATGTGTAGTTGCGGGAAATCTATCGGTACTTTAGATCATATCTTTCTGGAATGCGCTCTTAATGATGAATGCCCACCACTTTATTGTTTACTAACTAACACTAACATCCCGTTCCCAGTTAATATGAACTATCTCTTAACATTCCCTAATCCTATAGTTGTAAATGCTTATTTTATTTCCCGCAATAACATTAAACTGTAAAAATATTTACAAATTTTTCTCCCGTTCTCATTCATCTCATCTGCTATCATCTATTTAAATCACTGATATTCTATCTACCTGACATTGGCAGAGTCATTCGTCAAAGAAGAGAGAGCCATAAAAAAAAATATGCTTATTTATGTTTAAGCTTGTAACAGTTTAGGTTTGTTAATCATTCAGTATTTATGAAAGTGACCAAGTGTGGGAAAATGAAATAATGCTCGAAAACAACTACTCGAGTATTGACATTTCAGTAAATTCCAACTATTTTACCAAATCATTATTTTATATTAGTTAATTTTATCTTACCTGATATTCTCTCTCTTTATTAAATTTAAATTTTATTCAATTTTATCCTCATTGATTATCATTTCAACTGAGATTTTGAGTCATGTCTCATAGTGAGTGATGACATTCATACTGTGATGTCTATGGGCATCAAATATTTAGGTGTGTAGTGTGAGCTCGATTAAAAAAACTAAATATCAAATGAACATTTGGCTAAAAGTCAAGATCCCAGGCCATTAAAAAAAACTATTTTTATGACATGACAAGAGACAATTATCTACCTACTGTCAAAAGTGCCAAATTCGTTGTCAGACTCAGTGGTATTTTTTCCTATTTTTTAAATTTGTTTTGAAGCTAACTAAAGTGTTTACCGGTACATTATTTAATCAAATTAATCTTATATTTTACAGAAGACTACGACGATACATACTGTTTGATCTGATAATATGGCTTTGTTTAGCTGCACCAGGTAGGTTTGTAGAATTATATAACATTAAAGGGTTTTGTTTTGTTGACTTGTTTTTTTCCGTCATCATTTTAATTTCATGTTTTAGACTGGGAAGTAGAAGCGTACTAGCGAGCTTAAGCAGGTTTCCTGCGAGGTTGAACAGCGTGAATTACGTTCAAGCCTCGTCTAATGCCCCTAAAATTACGTTTGTCAAGTTTGAGCCCCCAAAAGAAGAACATCATGACGTGAGGAATGCCAAGTTGAATCGTCCACTTTCTCCACATTTAACAATATACTCCTTCCAACTGACTGCTGTGCTCTCTATCACACATAGAGCAACTGGTGAGTTTGACTTATTGTATTGTCCGTTTATTGTTTTTATTATCCAATACCCTAACTAGAAGGTAGGTACTCAAAATCAGTACACATATAATTTGGCAAAAATCTAGTTGTAGTGTATTAGTGACGGTAGTTTCATGACCACTATGTTTTCAGACCACCAAACAATGATTGTTACTTTTTTAGGGACAAGATTTTATTTTAGGTGCTAAACTAGGGTAGTTAGTTGCAGACAAGGAGGCCAGGTAGAATGCTTGAGAAATGTTTCGTTGTAAATTAAGTAAAAAAAATATTTTCAGGAATGATGTTGACAACATATGCCAGCGCACTTGGTATAGGGGCGTTAGTGTCACAAAATGATATTTCACATTACATCACCATGATTGAAGGACTCAATCTTTCACCTGCTACTTTATTCTTGGCAAAAGTGATAATCGCTGCACCATTAGGCTACCACTTTGCTAATGGAATCAGACATTTGTATTGGGACACAGCCAAAGGACTGTCCATCAAAGAAGTGTATTCGACAGGATATGCCATGTTGGGGGCTGCTGCTGCCATAACACTTTTCTTAGCCGCGTTGTAAATAAAGGTGTTCTCATTAGAATGTTATAAGAATCGTTGATTATTATTTATTGATGTAAGTAAATAAACTCATTGGAAATCAGACTTCATTTTTATTCAGATCTTTTCAACAGTTGTGTCAAAATTTGTAAATCAAGACAAATAAAATGGCTGTACAATATTCATTAATAATAGTGAAAACATTTAAGACTATTAAGCTATGCCACATGAAGAAATAACATCATGGATTGACTTGAATTTCTCAAAGTCAAGATTTTCAACTGTGGCTAATCCTTTGGCAGCATTCTGAAAAAAAAACCCAATGAAATTCAGTCCAGTATTTTAAAATCTCATGTAGTAAAAACGAGACTTACATTGAAAATGACATTGTTGTTCTTCAAGAATTCTCCGTAAATGTTGAACAGGTCAGTTCTGGTGTCCAATAACTGTGCTAAGCTGAGTGGAGTGTGGGCAATAGAGACATCTGATAAAAAGTCCTTGGCAGATAGCCAGGTTCTGGATGGAGCCATCGCTATGTTACAAGTAGGATAGTTGGACAGAGTGTCACGGCCTCCCGTCTCTTGGTTCACACAGAGCAACTCATATTGTGAAGCATCAAAGTTTGATAAATCAGCACCTGTCAAAAGCAAAGTTTATAATAAGTGGTTAGATAAAGTCACAGCTGACATAGTGTTAAACAGTTATCTATAAAGAGTATAGCGTAAATGAAAATATTTCAAATGTGTTGATTGACGACTTACACTTCAAACTGGGACGAATGCTTTGTGATCTCTAAGTGTGCATATCTAAGTATTTAACATTATGTTATGTACTAGCGGCCCACAAATCCAACTTCGTATTTTTAACAAAAAGATAAGTACATAAAATATTATTTATGTACGATTGAGAAGAACGGAATGTATGAAAAGAGTGTGGAACGGAGCGTTAGGATGTGACTGAGAGAAAACGGAAAGAAAGGGAGAAGAGAATGACAGACCGAATGAAAGAGAAAAGGAAGATGGCGAAGATGGTTAAAAATGAGCAAGGCTTTTTTTTTTTTTTTTTATTGCCCTTGTTGGCAGATGAGCATACGGCCCACCTAATGGTGAGTTGTTACCGTCGCCCATGGACTTCAGCAATGCCAGGGGCAGAGCCAAGCCGCTGCCTACCGTTTAATACACTCCACAAGCCTCGTTTGAAGAAGGACATGTCATAGGGCTCGGGAAACACCGTGGAAGGGAGCTCATTCCATAGCCGGATGGTACGTGCCAAAAAAGACCTCTGGAAACGCACTGTGGATGACCGCAGTGGCTCCAGGTAGTATGGATGAACTCTACTCCGGTGGCGGGCGGTGCGATGGTACAAACGAGATGCCGGTATCATCTCGAACAATTCCTCAGAGCATTCCCCATGGAACATACGGTACAAAATACAGAGGGAACCGAAGTCCCTCCGCAGACCCAGAGGTTCCAAACGATCCGTGAGAATGGGATTAAGTGTGAAAAGTGTTAATTCATTTTTAATTATTATTTTAACAGATTTTGGAACAGTGTAAGTTTTATTTTATGCGCTGCGATCCCTATTCTACATTTATGAATATTTTTNCTCAGAGCATTCCCCATGGAACATACGGTACAAAATACAGAGGGAACCGAAGTCCCTCCGCAGACCCAGAGGTTCCAAACGATCCGTGAGAATGGGATTAAGTGTGAAAAGTGTTAATTCATTTTTAATTATTATTTTAACAGATTTTGGAACAGTGTAAGTTTTATTTTATGCGCTGCGATCCCTATTCTACATTTATGAATATTTTTAGATTGTTTTTTGTACTTACTCGACACAAAAGCGACATCGCCACGATCTTCCTGAAGACATTTCCAAGGACTGCTGTCACTTCCACATTGTTTCTTTAATGATGATACGTCATCACCTGCACACGGAAATTACAATGAAACTTAAAATACCATAAGACAGTGAAATACCATTTGGCTTAAAAATATTCACCGCTGGGATTGTTCTCTGGTTTGTCGACGCCTGGCAAACATGAACCGCCGGAGAAGAAATCACCAAAGTTCTTAATGCACTACAAATAAAATATAATAATGAGTTTGTTGCTATTCACAATTTTATTATCAGTGCTCGTTTAAGAGAGATCCTTACTTGATCAGGTTTTATGATCCTCTTGTTTATGAGATAATACAATGGAGCGTCAAGTCCACTGAAAGTGCCGTACGAACTGTGACAAGATCTGAAAAAAATAATAGTATATAGCCACCCGAAATTTCAGAAAGTGGGATGAAATTAAATGAGATGTGATGATATGGGATGAATATAATCTCTGTAAAACAGTGGTCATTAACTAAGATTTTTTCGATGGACTTTTTGGAGGATCACGAGAAGCTACGTCCAGCGGCTTTGTTTCATTTCCCCACATTTGTGTTATTCAGCAGTTAATAAACCACCGTTATTACACATTTATACCCGAAGAAACACTAAATAGACAAAATTTCACAAAATAAAACAAATCACACAACTTCACTCCTCCCGTTCCCGCCAAAAAGTCCCGGAAAGTGATAGGAAAATATATTGCACAGATAAGGCGAAATATTAAAAATTATTAATTTGATTTGTGGAAGCAAAAAATTTACACAAAATTGTACAAATCACCTCTGGTTTATATCACGTGGGTTATGTCACATAGCTTATTTTTAGCCACCAACTATCACGGCAAAATAAATTCATACGGAGACACGACATAGTTTTAAATCTTTTCAGTTTTCCGCCAAAACCAAAAGTACTGATATAGCCCACAATTTTGTATTCCTTACTTCTTTCCTCTTAAATCTTCCATCTTATTGAAGGATGTTCCTTTTTTGACGACAGCCACAGCGTAGTTAGGAGTTTTCTTTTCTCCGTATACCTCGTGGAAGACCGGGTGCAAGACGTATTTCTTTGCTGCTGCAGCTACCCTCATGTCGTCGACTGATGCCAAATCGGAGCCATTGTCTTGAACCTAAAGGGAAACCGTGTGTAATTGGAGAAATTACATTTATATTTGAAATTTGATAAAACGCAATCCACACTGCCTGTTTATTTACTGGTGGTAAGACCTCTTGTGAGTCCGCACGGGTAAGTACCACCACCCCGCCTATTTCTGCCGTGAAGCAGTAATGCGTTTCGGTTTGAAGGGTGGGGCNGCCAAATCGGAGCCATTGTCTTGAACCTAAAGGGAAACCGTGTGTAATTGGAGAAATTACATTTATATTTGAAATTTGATAAAACGCAATCCACACTGCCTGTTTATTTACTGGTGGTAAGACCTCTTGTGAGTCCGCACGGGTAAGTACCACCACCCCGCCTATTTCTGCCGTGAAGCAGTAATGCGTTTCGGTTTGAAGGGTGGGGCAGCCGTTGTACTGTTAAAACTGAGATCTTACAAATCGTGTCTCGAGGTAGGTTGTAGATGTCTATGGGTTCTGTTACCCACTTAATACCAGGTGGGCCGTGAGCTCGTCCATCCATCTAAGCAATAAATAAAAAACGGGTGTCGTATTCTAAAGTGACACATAAAAGAGAAAACTGTATTTATGTTAGGAATAAACTGTATAAACTGTGTTAGGACTAAGCTTACAAGAGAACGAGATAAAAATACTTCCGAAGGTTTCACTTCTATCGTCTGTGTTCTGCACACAATGTTATCAAATATGTTTCATTTAATTTTAATAATTAACGATTTTGAGCAGTTCAAGGAAAAAAATAATGACACTTCAAGGTTTTCTGTGTTTAATTTTGTCATTGATATTGACATATTTTCTTGTGAAAACTGACACTAAATGGTTTCCAAATATACATTTTTGGTAACATTAAAGTTCGCCAGTAAATACTACACAAAAAAAAAACAGAAAACAAAATAGTTGTATTGATAGATAAATCTTTATACATTTATAGATGTACCTATGTATTTAAAATCTTTAGATTATTGAAAAATGATACCTATATAATATTATTAAGACATAACAATGTGAATGTTGAGACCAGTTCCATCTTTTAGACCTTAGACCGTAAGGCATGATGCTTCGTGACAGATACAGGTAGGTTTGCTGTACCTTTACCGTATATACTTGTGCGGGTCACTTAAACCTTACGTTAATTAAACCAACGAAAAAAAAAAATTACGCTTTTAAGGCAGTCGGTTTCTGAAGCCTCTTGAACACAATCCAGGATGGGTCTGATGTCTCTACTGAACGCGAACACGGACATAGCTCTGCATTTGGCTAAAGCCACGTTTGATGTGACACACAATCTGGTGAATTAATGTTATTTTAGTACGGTGATTAAAAAAAAAACATAAATCGAATTAATTGAAACTTTTATTTTATTTTATTGGCTCTGGTCATCGGAGCTTAAGGCGTGTATAAAATTTCATGTTAATCTGGCGTCAATTAAGATTCCGCTTCGGACAAAAAAAAAACATACATAGGTAATAAATGCGTCTAATTAAAACTAAATTTACGGATGTAGTCTTAATGTACCTTTCTGGGACCACTTGATTTCTATCGACACAAACTCCTTTGCCAAAAAATAATTATGTACGTTATTATTAAAATTAAATTATTTTTTTATGTTTTTAAAAATTATATTAAAGAAAAAAAAATGTAATGCTATAAAAATACCTGACGACTAATTCGGGAGCACCGTGACCTCTTTCAATGACTTCGGTGTAGTTGGCCTTGTTCAAATAGTCAATGGCTTTGATCGGAATATTGTCGGCCACGTAGTGGATTTTGTCTGATAGCCCTAGAACTTTGGTGAACCACTCGGGTTGGCTTGAGGAACCTAGATGGGAGAAAACAAAGTTTCGAGAAAGAAAAAAAATGACAAAGTGACTGATGTTTTTTTTTCTCTTGCTCGATTGCGTTATGAAGGGTAGAAATAAGGAGCTTAATTAAGATGGCGCCACAGTAGCAAGAGGGCAAATTTTAAAAACAGCGCCATAAACTACTTAACTTCACTTCAATCTAGCACACTTCCTAAAACTGAAATGTTCATATCATTTTTACTTCCTCTACTAAGCGCTATTTCGGTGAATCTTCCAACAATGATTTGCTGTATTTAAGTGGAGACTTTTTCAACTTGTCTCTTATACAAGATGGTGCTCCTTACATCTACCCTCCATAGCTTGCATGAACATTCGACAATGACACTGCATTCGACATTGACTACTTTGAGGTCCTAGTACTAATTTTTCGTCATCCGTTCGCCATACGTTAGTACCTATTTCAAAGTTTGTCCCAAAAGTTCCCATATTAATGTGACCATCCAAAACCGTCTTTTCCAAAATTGGTAAAGGGTAACTAGCAAAGAGCAAGAAGAAAGTAAAGGTTGCTTTATTGAAGTTTTACAGAATTTGGAAGCAACATTTCTTAGAAGTGGTGGCTACTAAAAATCAGTATTCATAATAACTGTTAATAGATCTAAGTGTTTTTTTAGGCTATCTTGAATCGTAGACGTAATTAAGACTAGTTTTACGGTATAATCTCACGTGATTTTTTAAATATTATTTTTGACGTTTCCAATCCTTTACAGTTTTTTTGGTCAAAGTAGTTTTAATTATACATATGTAGTTAAGTTACCGGCATCAGCCAACTGCTTTATTTTCTCCCTCAGCGGGCTAAGTTTAGCCAGAACGTCGTTATGTCCGATCAGTCCCTGCCACGGTCTAGCTGCCCAAGAGCAGGCCTTGTCCCTTATCGGCACTTTAGAACCGTCCACGCAGAGGTACCTGTATTCATCAGGGTTCTCGTTTGAAGGACTCGCTGGAGTGGTACCGACGGGCAACTGAAATGTAGGTAAATGGTTAACGCTGATCGCGGATCTGTTAATGGTTATTGTCAATTGAAATTTGACGTACTCCGAAGAATTTCCTGGTGAATATGACTTTGGTGAAGGCGACTTGTCCGTTGTTGTGAGCGAGACACTTCAATGCGCCCACATAGCCGCTGAATTCATCGGGATAGTCGCATCTCTCTGGATGTTCGCACATAGAGCATAGCTTGTTGTATTGGGCCTCTGAAATTGGAGTAGCAATGTTCTTAAAACTGAAAGGTGATAATTGTAAATGGCTTTACTAGACTTAGGTTTGAGATGGGATCTTTGGATTGCGTAACTAAACAAGTAAAGATCGATGATGAATCGATGAATATGAAAAAGAAAAATGACAAGATAGAACTTAGCAGTAACTAAGTCAATAAGTTTAAAAAGTTTTTACTACTATGAAAAATAATATTATGATAATTCTGAATGTAAATTTTGGGCATAGCGTAAAAATGATCGAGTATCACTGATCTAAGTAATTGATATATTTGGTACTTACTCCAAGCCGAGTTTGTTTTCGGATCCGGAGACCATTTACCTACGATGCAAGATTTCGTGAAGAACGTCGACAAGGCTCTTAGTTCGTTTTCCTTCGGCGAAATGCTGTGGTCGTTCATTTTTGGGAAAACTGCACGCTTCATCAGCATTGTTAGAGGGATCTAGTCGGCAAAAGTGTATTTATTTATTTAATTACCAAGCTTTAGAGATTAAGTTACCAATGAAAACATAACGTCTTCGTTAAAGTACTCATTAGTGTTTGGTTCTGAAGCCGAGTGTGCTTGTAAATTTCAAACTTGTGACAACAATCGATACAAACAAAAAATGCGCTAATTTTAACTATACCCAAAACAATCTCAAGCACTAAAAGTAAATAAATGTGCGCAAATATTTTGCAATCATTTTTGTGTCATGACGACTTTTCGGGTAAATAATGGTTAAACTCATGTTAAACTGGTTAATGTTGACACAGTAAACTTACAAGATAAATATATTCGGCATGGCGTCTCGTTTTTTGTTTTCTCCTTTACACACATATGTTATGTGTAATTTATATTGGATAAGATTCTTTTAGCCTTGACAGTTTCGCTATACGAGTATATAGGACTAAAATAGTTTCATATCTTTTGAATACATGAGGTTTAGCCAGAGGCCAGTGCGGACTTTCTTTAGAACTATGGAAACCCCCATGTCCGCTATCAGAGACGCAGAGGTAGGCCTAGCTTTTTTGTCAATTATCATCTATTTGCAATCCATGTGATGTTAGACGGTTGCAGGAAACTATAAAAATCCTCCTTTTCCTCGCGTTGTGTTCCTCAGTGTTGCAGATCGTGACTTTTATGGATCACTTTTGTTTGGACTATGTTCCTCCATTATAGACATAAGTATCACTTTTTCGTTTTATCGACTTTCGAAACAAAACATTACATAGAAAACAACAATAGCTGGAGGAAATCCGGGACCCAAACTCGGATCTCCAGATTACCGATTGCACTTAAACGATTTATTTTAATGGGCCCTTGTCAGGGCTTAGAACCGATTGTGTCACTAATATGTTTAGACATGGGAAACGACAAAGCGAAGATCTACTATTGACCGAGTGATCTTGCTCGGTAGACCGACGGTCTGATTGCTTTGGAATAAGCATAAATGTAAGATTCTTTTTGGTATTGCCGTTTTTACCGGATTTCTCCAATTCTATGCCTCCACTGAACAGTAACCACTCACCATCAGGTGGGCCGTATGCTCGTCTGCCTACAAGGGCAATAAAAAAACTAAAAAAAAAAACTCGGTGATTCCTAAATTGGGTACACAAAACGTAAATATGTTCCTTAATAAATTACATCCAATATAGAAAGTCAATGCTGGTAAAATCAATAAATTCGAGGGATTCATGCGGCAATAATCCTAGCTCGTATATTTTTTTAACGAAAATAGCTCTATTCTTTATTGTAACGGACAAAAAGGATATTGAAAGCCCAAACAAACCTATCCGATCTAATGGAATCTATTTGATTGAAGTAGAAAAGATTTGGGATTCACTAGATTTTTCTTTCTGTTATTATGATTACATTTTCCATTAGTATTACAAACATGAATTATCCGTTTAGCGGATATTGTGAGGTCATTGACAAAGGCGCGCTTTTAATATTCCTTGTGCTCTGAATACTTAGTATTATTTTCTGAATATATTTCGTTCAAACTTCTGTGCAGCATATTCTTTGTTTACAATATGGATTGCAATTAGGATGTCATATATTTTTGATTTGCTTTATTTGATTTAAAATTTGATATGTTGTGACCCAATCTAAGAAGGCAAAGTTTCGTCATTAGTTTGATGAAAAACAAATCACATATATTTTACACTGGAGTGTTGATGCTTCTGTTCCACCCGTGACTGCAGCAAAGCACTCTGCCGCTTAAGGAGAATACTATGATATTTAAAAGCTATAACTCGTAGAACATGGTGTGACAAGTGGCACATTTAGTACGGACCTTAATGTGTTTATGTATGGTTTACTAATCTAAGATTTTAAAATTAGACACTGGTCGAACAAAATACCTCAGGTACCTTGATTTAATTTTTGGCATTATTAAATTAAAACTAAACACTAAATACAAAACTATCTACTTTTGTTTTCTGAATTTTAAAAGAGGTTGAAGAATGGCTTCAATGATTACTTACTTATTAAAAATACCTTTTGACTTCCCTACGGTTTCCATACGCTACAAAATATGTACAATGTACGTCTACATACATATTCGCAGCTTTATTGAAATTCTAAGGGAATTATTAAGCAATCTCGATAATTCAGACAGCATCTGCTAGTCGAACTGGTATAACCATCCTTGAACCCGGAATGACATTAACTGCATTCCGCCCGTTATGACTGGTTTTCGAAAATACACAGGTTTTAATATAATTTTCGTACTTAGCTATAAGGTCAGAGAATATTAGATGCTTACACAAAATTATCTGGAAGGCTCTTTATTGGGAATGGCTATGCCATCGCGGCTTCTTCAAAGCATTACCACTTCATCACGATAGTTCGTAATCGTATCTCTTTTCTAACTCCAACTCAACTAATTTTTGATTCAATTTGATGATACTTGTTCCCAAAGAAGGATAACGATAAATCACAACTTTAACTGGCAACAGGGCGCAATGTGAGCCTGCCTTATTGCGATGAAATAGTCATGCGTGCGGATTTGAAGGGTGGAACAGCCCTTATATAGAATTGTGAATGCAAAATTATTTTTTAAGCCAGTTGACGACATTCACGTAATGCTGATAGGCTTTGAGCACAGGAAAAAAAAGTCGTAGCCTTGAGGATCCAGTTATTGGAGGTCAATCCTATATGACATTTAGAGAATTGGCCCTATTATTTATTAGTCTTTATGAATTAATTTGTATAAGGCCACGTCCTATTGCTAAATTATATACTTCACAAAGTATACAGAGTATCAATTCGAAAATTATAACTAAGTGTATAAAAACAGAGGAAAAAATTTGATTAGATTTTCGTAACGACTGGTTTATGTGTTTTTAATGTGTCGGAATGCGGTATAAGCTATAATAGCGTTACAGGATTGAGTAGAATTTTACCTTGTATCCCACGTTTCTGTTAACTCCAGTATGACAGGACTTCAAGCCTTTCAGCTGATCCAGATTGTTTATCGGTAAATCCTTATGGATGACAATTACTGCTTCGTAACGGAAAGGCGCTAGAAGATAAAAATGCTTATATTACAATCCAGTTCGTTGATGACGGCAACCTACTATCGACAGAATATGTATTTAGTGTAATTATGGTATATCAACCAAATTATAGTCTGGAAAGTATACACATGTTTAGTTGACATTTAGACCATAACATGCTTGTCTCTTCAACAAATCTAAATTGAACAAGTTACATTCAATAAGTTATTCTTATTGAATGTGTTCTATCGAGCTTGGGTGGACGTGGAGAAAAAAAAGCTCTTTCCATTATCTTTATAGTACAATGTAATCGGATCTATAAGTAATTTTGTAGCCGAAGCATGTTGGGAAACTTTCACTCAATATCGTTATGTAACTAACTGTCTTATAGTTCTTAGAGGAAATTTAAGTGTTCGGCTCAAAGGTGACTGACATTCGGTCGGCTATAGTTAATGTTAATTTATATTAAATATAATAATATTTAACTTTATTGGAGTACTGTTCAGATATGGACTATTTATGTCTGAAGGATATTTTGTTATAGGTTATTCTAGTAGATTATGTGAGTGTTTTCTTTCAAACTTAACATGAATAAAAACTTTGTTTACACTCGGAAAGCTGTACTAAGGGAAGGAATTATTAATTACCAGACTTAAGATCAATAATTGGTGTCGAGGTAGGCATCACAGAAGAAATCTGAACTGGGATAGCAACGTTTAGATAAGTTGGCATATACAAGTTCCAAACAAGATTCGCAGTCTTTCTACCGGATAAAATCACTCGTTCGATGAAATATCTTCCTTTTGTCGCACATAATTGTACTTGGCAAACGAAATATAAAGAAGTTCTCATGTCGAATTCAACGTAATTGACAAAGACATAATTGAATTAAATTGTAGCAGGCTTAATCCTTGTAGCTAGGTGAATTATGATTTAGACCTGCTGAAAGTTAGGCTTATCCTATGTAATGGACGGTCCCACGCTTAATCTCATTTTGTCGATAGTGGTACGAAAACAAAGCCCCTAACTAAATGATCAGGAGCTCTCACTTTAATTTTAATACACTAAATATTTGTATGTTTACTTAAAGGTACTAAAAGGTATATGAAACCTGAAAATAAAAACTTAAATGTATAGTGCAATACTATAATCAGAATAATAAGTGTTTGATAATTTAATAAAATAAATATACTTCGATTGGAGTAAAATCGGTATCGCGACTAACTGAGAAAATATGGTGGGAAACTCAGTGGGTTGTCTTTTGGTCGTCATGATAATTAATCGCGTTCCGCATTAATTGTTTTATTTAGAAAGAATGAAACTGTGCATTTTTCTGGTCGAGTTGCTTGTGATACTTTCTGGTCTGTGAACTGTAGTAAAGGTTACCATGGCATCTTTTGCTATGAGTATGCTTTGCTATTGTGTATGCGCGGGTAGATGAAAAATTTGTCATCGATTTAGGTAAAATCCGTTTTTATTTTGGGCCTAAATTGTAAAAAGAATAGTCATTTCAAGTACTTTACAGTTTTGGTGGTCACGGACGACTTAAGCCGTAAAAGAAGCTCAAATTATATCCACACGAGCTGTGCTTCGCTTTAAGAGCCTCCTCTTTTTTGTACTAGTTTCAGGGTAGCATTAGTAGTTATGGATTAACCCATAGACACAGCCCACTGAGTTTATCGCCGGATCTTCTGAGTGGGTCGCGTTTCAGATCCGGTTGTAGATGCTGCTAAGCACTGCTCTTGCTAGGGCCAGTGTTAGCCAGTGTTAGCAACACCTTCAGTTTAAGCCCCGAGAGCTCACCTACACGCTAGGGTAACGCTGATATAGCTTCTCAAGGCTATCAGCACAGATAGAAAAAAAAAGCATTTACAGTGCACAATTCAATCATGCCTATTTCTGAAGCGTTTAAATACAATTGAGACTTCCACTTCGAGCGGATGGTGGCGATGTAGTGTTTACGAGTCCCGATAATGTGATCAATGAGCTCGTAAACTTCGAGTTCAGTAGCAATAAAGCTGTAAACAAGAATCAGTGGAAACTGTCCAATAAAAATATTGAGAATCGGTCACTTTCTGGAAGCGCGATATTCCAAACAATGATTTATCTATTGCCACAGAAGTTAGTAGCTTTTTTAATCTGGTTGGTGATTGTGGTATAACAAAAGAAGATGCACATAGGATGCACTTTTTTTTATTGCTTAAATGGGTGGACCAGGCTCACAGCCCACCTGGTGTTAAGTGGGTACTGGAGCCCATAGACATCTACAACGTAAATGCGCCACCCATATTGAGATATAAGTTCTAAGGTCTCAAATATAGTTACAGCGGCTGCCCTACCCTTCAAACCGAAACGCATTACTGCTTCACGGCAGAAATAGGCAGGGTAGTGGTACCTACTCGCGCGGACTCACAAGAGGTCCTACCACCAAGTCAAGTCCATCGTGCTACGGTCGCGCATGATGAAAAGATGTTATCTCTGCCATGCCCTACCTTATAACAAATATAACTTCTTTAATTACTTCAAAGCTACTTTCACAAAAAGGGTGTCTTTCAAATGGACTTTTGTTATTGCGTAGGACTTACCATCCGGTTCTTCATCGGTTCTGTACTCCTGGAAAACGACGAAGTCCTGATTGGGTATTTTGGCGGCCACGTACATGTCTTCCGGGTCGACTGGAACGAAATCGGCTTGCCTCTGCTGAACGTAATTCAGACACTCCATTCTGATGACAATTTATGTGATATCAATTAATACACTTATTGTTCTTTGATTATGGGCATTTAATCAAATGAAACATTTCGATGCTTCAATGGTTTATGTTTTTGTTATTGTATTAGGAGAAAACGAGCCCATTTGATATTAAGTAGCATGACGTGATTGGGAATCTTGGAAAATATTGGTAATCTTTAGAGGAGGCCTTTGTCGAGAGACAAGCTGTTTTGAAACGACACCGAACGCCGAACGAAATACTTAATTATAAGTTGGATTTAAATTTAAGCTATTATTAAGTAATTTATTAAGTTAGTAATTATTATTATTAAGTAAAACAGCAATAACGGCTAATTTTATTTTAATTAATTTTTTATTTTTTTTATTTCTTAGACGGGTGGACGAGCTCACAGCCCACCTGGTGTTAAGTGGTTACTGGAGCCCATAGACATCACGCAAATGCGCCACCCACCTTGAGATATAAGTTCTAAGGTCACAAGAGGTCCTACTACCAGTAAAACGTATTTTATTAAATTGACACTGGTCATTGGTCGTCGTGGCGTATGCAAATTTTCAAAGTAATTGGAGGAGGACGTCTTGAAGTCAAAAATTCGGTTACATACAAACATAGATATATACATACTATTACCATTAAACACTAATAAAAGTACGTTAGAATATATACGTGCGTCTCTTTAATTTTAGCCCTCTCTGGATTATACTTATCCTTCATCTTGCCCGGGCTTTGAATGCGTAATGTAGGTTACAAACTCTTAATGTGAAACAATGTTTTTCCATTAGCGAAACGAAGTCTAGACGCGTTTTAGTACTTATCGTGAATACAGATCACTACAGAAGCCGGCACAATAACAACATTGCGCTTGTTTTCCTTATTTTATTATTATTTTTTATTGTTTTCGTTAACCACCGACTGACCTTTAATTTTATCTATAGCTGTGAGCAATTCGAATTTCGTATTGATATTGTTTAATTTGTTTTGATTTCATTTTTATCTGTTGCGTAATTATGAAATATGACTTTATGAAATTTCGGTTGTAATTTTTCGTTTTGCTATTTATTTTCGCCTTAGTTAGCACTTTGAAGGAGATCTCGAAAATAAAATAATTTAGTAATACACAAAGAGAATAAATGCACTTGTCGACAATAATACTAAAACTAATTAATAGGAATGGAAATTGTTCCTACTTAAGATTTTTTTTAAACCTATTAACGAACTCTTGCGCCTAAAACCTTACCGGCCGCTTAAAGTTTTTTTTTTTAATTCTATAATTTCTACTACTTACCTATCTCTGGCGGGAATGCAGTCTAGTGTGACCTTGGATTTGGTCGGAATATCCACCATGTCCTGACACGCTTTCAGGTGTTGTGATGGCACGCATATTTTATCTAAGTAAAAAGTTATTGTGAAGTTTATTTAGTTTCTCAAACGTAGCTGAACGTCTAATGTTTTGAATAATCTCATACTTAATTTACATATTACGTAAGAGTCGTGAGTGAATGGGATTCTTATTCATTTCACCGAATTCGTTGAAGCAAACTTGTTCAGGAGCGCCTTGTATAGACACAAAATAGTAGTTTAAAAAAAACCGGTACCGACTCAAAATATCATGTTAGTGCACGTGATTGGAATTGATAAATTTGTTGAATTCAAGCAAGAAAAACGAATTGATTACAAGACGTTTTTTCATCGTTAAGACTCATTAATTCAGTACCGGTTAAAAAAGAAACAAATTGACAGATTTTTATGCTGGTAACACTAATACATTCTAAATTCAAATTTTTAAAGAACTCTGGTTTTTTTTTTAATTCTTAGCAATTAATAAACAAAAAAATCATACATGTAGTTTTCGCTGCGTTCACACATGCACAAATCAGGGTTATCAAAATGAAATATTTTAGAGCCATTGTCAAGGCAACCGACAAGCTCTGTTAAATGATCACTACTGATGAACGGACCAAGACGTTCTTTATTTATAATGTATTCACGCGCTACGAGCTTCTGATGTGTTATCTGTTTACACGAATGTGATTTATAAATGTTTTGAGCATGTTATTGTTCGACCGATTGAGGTGGTTCCTTTAATGAATACCGAATAAATGTTGAGACTTGATGGTGGAGATCATATTGATATCTGTGGATTTTTCTAATGAAATACGTACTCAACAAATGTTCACGATTGACTTCCACGGTGAAGGAATAACATCGTGTAATAAAAATGAAACCCGAAAAATTATAATTTGCGTAATTACTGGTGGTAGGACCTCTTGTGAGTCCGCGCGGGTGGGTACCACCACCCTGCCTATTTCTGCCGTGAAGCAGTAATGCGTTTCGGTTTGAAGGGTGGGGCAGCCGTTGTAACTATACTTGAGACCTCAGAACTTGTATCCCAAGGTGGGTGGCGCATTTACGTTGTGGATGTCTATGGGCTCCAGTAACCACTTAACACCAGGTGGGCTGTGAGCTCGTCCACCCATCTAAGCAATAAAAAAAAAAGCCGAAATATTTTACTATAATATGTCAAGACCTGTATGTTACAGTTTTTACAAGTTGAACTATTAAATTTTATGGATTTTCTCCTGCTAGGGCTCCGTGAACTAACCTACCAGTCACGGCGTAGCTCAAATAGCCACGTCCAATCCATCCGTCCAATCCAATAACCTTTGCATTAGACACCTTCAGGTCTAACACTAGGAGCAGGCTTAGAGACCCCGGTAACCGTACTCGTAGAACTCAACAAAGGGTTCGTCGTGTAACCTAACCCATGCATCAGCTCGCTGAGTTTTTCCCCCTTCTCAGCGGGTCGCGATTCCGATCCGGTAGTAGATTCGTGAAGCAGCTGCTCTTGTGTTGTTAGGTCTCCTTCGGAGGCGCTAGGGCAGCTGTTAGCAAGTCCCATCCCTCCTGGCTGAGCCTTTGCTCGCCCACCTGTCCTGGTGAAACTGGAATGGCCTCCGGGCAACAAGTAATCCTTCAATCCTAAAAAAAAAACCTGTAATAGCCTCTTAGGTTACAATCGATTAAGTAGTGAAAAGAATAATTGAATTTTTTGTCTTTAAAAATAGAAACTTTATACATACATAGTATAAGATTGTTGTCGGTCGGTCTATCCGATAGTTAAGACTGTTTTATTCAGAAACGGTAAGAAATTTAAACTTCTTAATCTTGAGAAATGAGTTCTAAGACATCAGTTTTACAGTACAACGGCTACCCTATCTTTCAAACCGAAACGCATTTTTGGCATTTTTATTGCACACATATTTGCTTGCATACGAAAGAGAATAATACTCAAGCTACTTAAGATCGCAGCTATTTATTTTTATTTTGAAATTCAAATTTATATAAATTATATCAACCTCGTAATTATAGAAGTTTTCCCTGTGTGATAGATATTAGTAACAAAGTAATTGGTGCATTTATCTGGTAGGCAAAGGGAACGTAACGCTAACAGTCTAATATTTTTAATAAAGACTAAAGCAACGTCTGTTGTATACAAATGAATCGGAACGGAATGAAATGATACAAATTAATTAGGAAATCCGGCGATATAAGACAAAATTGTTGAATGTGGTGATAAAGTATAAGCTCAGTAAATTGCTAAAACTTACTGAATGATAGACTTTTTTGAAAAATCCGAGAATTCAATTCTAGCGAATTAGTTTCACTTGTACACTCTCGTAGATCCTAAACGGCTAACCATTTTTAATAAGCATTTATTATTTTAATAAGCATCTATTATTACACTTTTTAAGAAATACTAAGTTTACAAAATAAAACTATTCACACAACATGACATCTCGTATTCCCGCCAAAAAGTATTTTTCCTTTTACAATTAGATAGGTAAAGGGAACGTAATTTCAATTCATTAAATAATATTTAAATAATATTAGTGTTAATATTTTGTAATATGTAAATAGGTAATGTTTGTAACACACGAACAATTAATGAACAACATTGGTTCTGGAGAGTTACGTAGCTCTTATGTAGGAAGAGCCTTAGTGTGCACCTGAAATTCTTAGGGCATTTGTTTTACTCGCCCTTTTCCGGCTTTTTTTAATATTATTTAGTTTCTTCTGTTATCTATGTGCTATTTCTAAACTGGCTGGAAAATATTTTTTTTTTTTGTAAATGATATTAATGGCTTGTTTGTAGATACCAAGAAGGTAATAACTCAGATTTATTGTTAATATTTGTCAGAATAATTTATCTGTGCATAAAATAAGTTTTTTGGAACATATTTATTTGAATTGTATTGCAAAGCTAAACTTAATTTAAATTAGTGCGTGGTGACAATTTATTAGTTTTACCTATTTTAATTTGCAATTTACATATTATAATGTAATAAAAACACTTAGATTTGAAAAATATATATTTGGCGGGAAGAGCGTGTTGATCTCAAAGAAAATTGTCTACTATAGCTAATTGACCTGCAAGTTAATAATGCTATTAGGAGATGGATTGGATTCACTGTAATAAATGTTTTTCACAATTAGAACCAGGGATAACACTGCATCTCACATCATGTGGTCACATGTTCTGCAACAATTGTTTGGGCAACGGTAAATAAAATTTCCATTTATTTGTTTGAATTGCCTACATAAGTAGCGTTGAATTTCTTGTTTTGTTTTCAGGTCTAAAAGACAGCACGTGTCTAGTATGTCGAATGCCGTGTTCTGCTATGAAATTAGTGCCAGACGTACGTATTTAAAGTTCATATTTTTTTACGAGATATACATTAATATTATTATTACGACATGCATTGTATTACCATACATATTAGACACTGTCGCGTGATTTGTCGTGTAATATTAATAATGTACATGTTTAAATTTATACATTTTTTCTTTGTTTTATTTCTGAGGCTGGTTGTACGATTTCACGGTCCAGGTTTTTTTATTGCTTATGCAAACAGACATACATACTGTCCGCTTGATAGTGAGTGCTTACCGGCGTATATGGACGTAAGCAATGGCAGGGGCATAGCCAAGCTCTAGGTAGCTGAGTGTTCTTCGCAAACCTAGTTTGAAGAAAGACACGTCATAGCGTCGGGAAATACCGAGAAAGGTAGTTCATGGCAAGGCCGGATGGATTGTAAGGTGGTACGATTTTTGAAATCCGCAATAGCTTGGTAGAAAAGTAATAGTGACATGACAAGTGTTACGTTTTAATTGCCATTGAAAATTTGGGAACATTCCAAACGAATAGGCAACAGATATTGTTTATTTGAAAGCTACTATGTTTTTACTAGTATAGACCATCTAAGCAATAAAAAAAAAGACAGGTAGACGAAGTTCACAATTTATCTGATGAAAGCTATCGAAATCACATAGATAGCCGTAATTCCCTAAATATGCGAGGTTTTAGTATCGTTTTTGTACCGGAATAAAGTAAATACGCATATTTTATGGTCTCAGCGAGTCGTGATTCCGATTTGGTAGTAGATTCATTCGCGAAGTAGTTACTCTTGAGTCGTTAGGTCTCCTTTGGAGACGCTCGGGTAGCTGTTAGCAAATCCCTTCCTCCTGGCTGAGTCCCTCCTCACCCACTTGTCTTGGTAAAACTGGTAAAGCCATCCGGACCACCAGTAATCTTTCAAACATATGAAACGGTGTAGCTGGAATAGCCTCTTGGCTACCAGAAAATAGGCAGGGAAAAAAATTGGTACACTTCGAACCAGGCATGATTTCTGCGTATTGAGTATCAGGACTGTGGTTATGGTCCGTATTGACGAATACGAGTGATATAGCAATAGTAGTAAGGTGTATTTTCATACGGCATCTTCGTCATTTTTGAATAATAGTTGTACAAAGGTAAAATATATAGTTCCTCTAGTCTAATAATTTAAATGGACAGCTAAGCCCTGTAATGTGATTAAAAAATAGATGAAACAAGAAATCCAAGATTACTTCACTGATCCTGAAGAGTTGATAAAGAAGTCTTGCGATGTGATACAGTTTCAAAGGCAGCATAGAAGGAGATTGCTCTCTTATCTATTACAATCGGTAAAATTTTATTTTTTCTATAATATACAAAAAATTAAGACAGTTCGCTTGTCATTTTCGTAATGAAGTAATTTTGTCTTTATCGTTGAGGGTCGATCAAAATACATTCCACATACTGGAAAGTAGTTGTAGTTGTTGGTAGACTTTGGATGCGTTAAACAATTACTTTGAAGGTTTAAGAAAGTAATTAATTAGATAGAATATAAATAGAATAGACAAATGTGTCAATTATTATATGTCTTTATTTATATTAAATACTCATAAGTAGTGTACGCTATAAAAAAAAATAATGAGCCTAAGTTATTAGAACTTCTATTGTTAGTTTAAAATTACACATCATCCTGGCTCATGATTAGACCATTCGTCGTGGCCTAAAAGATAAGACGCCCGGTGCATTCGTATCGAACGATGCGACTGAGCCGGTGTTCGAATCCGCAGGTAGGTGTAAATTTTTTAAATAAAATACTCGATACATGTTCAGGAGTGAGTTCCACGACGAAGAAATAGCATCGTATAATAATTTTAACTACGGAATAAACAGACAGAATATTTGGCCCTTCAACATACAATATTCCTCGTTATACCATAAAAGAAACCTGTCTCTGGCAGCTGTCGGATAAGGAACGATGGTTTTACAAGAGTTCTTTTATTTTTAAGCCAAAAAGGGAAAGTTTTTACGACTTACTAGTCGGTCAAGGGTATCAACCTGATGGGCCTTGTTCGAGATCCTCTTTGGAGTTCTGGTGTATAATACTTATATAGTTTTGTGGTAGCAGCTCGCTTAGCAATTGAAAGTATTTGTATTACACTTTTGTTTTTAGGAAAATATAATATATTTTTTTAATTTTTTTATTGCTTAGATGGATGGATGAGCTCACAGCCCACCTCATGTTAAGTGGTTACTGGAGCCCATAGACATCTACAACGTAAACGCGCCACCCACCTTGAGATATAAGTTCTAAGGTCTCAGTATAGTTACAACAGTTGCCCCACCCTTCAAACCAAAACGCATTACTGCTTCACGGCAGAAATAGGCAAGGCGGTGGTACCCACCCGTGCGGACTCACAAGAGGTCCTACCACCAGTAATTACGCAAATTATAATTTTGCGGGTTTGATTTTTATTACACGATGTTATTCCTTCACCGTTGAAGTCAATCGTGAACATTTGTTAAGTACGTATTTCATTAGAAAAATTGGTACCGCCTGCGGGATTCGAACATCGGTGCATCGCTAGATACGAATGTACCGGATGTCTTATCCTTTAGGCCACGACGACTCTGTATTTCAGTACCTGTTTATCTATAAATTTTCATGCTTAAATTGATCAAAGAAATTGCAATTGAAAGATAATTGTATATCAACAATATTATAAATGCAGAATAATTGTATGATGTTTTATTGAATTCTGTAAGCTTCACTGACTCGAATGTGATTATTTGAAGCATTTTACGTATACGACTAAGTTACAGCTTCAGAAAATTTGCAATCTCTGTTTCGTTCAACCCTAAGACACCCTATACCGACTGGTCCTGTGTGCTTAGTGCGAGTTTTTTAACGTTCTCGATAGCGTAAAAGTTAACTCAAATTTGTATGGAGTTCGAACGTTTGCTTACGTTTGCCGCTAGGGACGCTGTTCTAACTGCATACAATTTTGTGTTAACTTTTACGCTATCGAGAACATTAAAAAACTCGCACTAAGCACACTGGTCGTGTTATCTCAGGCATCTGCATCTGATACGTCGTATCGTAGTATTTAAATGAGAGGTATACTTTGACCCTTAATACGAAGTATATAGGGTAGTTACGTCATGTAGTACTGATAATTTATTGAGTGCAATTTTTTTTCTTTTTGACTAACATTTTTGTTCATTGTGACAATAAGAGATTAATTGGCCGGTCATCAGTTACGCTCGTGTTACTCTACTAGTCCCTAGAAAACATCGTGAGCTTTCTTAGAAAAGTATTTCTGCTTAGTTTGATAACTGTTATATTTCTCTCCATTAAAACTATTCGTTTATTTTTATTAATTTTTTTAGTTAACGTAGTTATGTACATTCCAATTGTCAAATATATATTCGCAGACAAAAAAGTTTTACGCGGCACGCAATGAACTGAAGCGTGTGACTGAAATGTGTCAAAAGCAACACACGCAATTAAAAGAGTACCACAAAAGAATTAAGGCGTTGGAAACGCAACTAGCAAACCAATCGAGCAGTAAGTAAATATTAGAAACAGTAGGCTAGTTGTTATTTATGTATATATAACATTGTAATTCTAACAAGAGGTAATTTAAATAATTCAAAAACTACTACTTGTGCCCCGATCGATTTTAAAAAATATGTTGGATTTATTTCGTTTCATTGTAAAAAATGTTGTTTTTGTTGTTCGTTTATTTTAAAACCATACGCTGTTTAACTTGCAGATTATTTGCTTTCATACATAATATTTGCATAATTCACAAAAGCTTTGTGAGCGAATGTTAAAACGCAGTTATTTGAGAGTGGAATCAAATTATTCCGTCCATTTTCAGGACAAGTATCCCCTTTCAATATTCCGATATCGCCGACAAATAACATATCGCCAAGCTTCATTCAAACGACACCCACATGCAAGAGACCTACAAAGAGCACCCCATACTCTGTAAGTGGTTTAATTATTCAAGCTATTATTACAAGCCTGCAGCTCATTTACAGCCTTTGTTAGATATTTGAAAATTTTTGTTGTTGAAAAGGTTGTGAAAATGTGTCTTTTTAATTTTTTATTGCTAAGATGGGTGGACGAGCTCACGGCTCACCTGGTGTTAAGTGGTTACGGCAGCCCATAGACATCTACAACGTAAATGACGTCACCTACAACTCTCAGTATAGTTACAACGGCTGTCCCACCTTTCAAACCGAAAGGCATTACAGCTTCACGGCTGATGGTAGGTTGGTGGTACCCACCCGTGCGGACTCACAAGACGTCCTACGACCAGTTAAATGATCCTTCCACCATTATATGTATGCCTCACTATATAATGTTTTTTTTATAACCCATGTATCGTTTGGTAGTTCTCGTAGGTTGTTATCAAAGTGCCTTCTACACTGGGCTTTTTTGCTATAGCGTATAGTCACTGTTTGTCGTTAGGCAACAAGCCTAAAGGTTAAGACGTCCGGTGCATTCCTGTCGAGCGATGAGCCTGTGCCAGGGTTCGAATCTCGCAGACAGATACCAATTTTTCTAATGAAATACGTACCACGAATGTTTACGATTGACTACCGCGGTGAATCAATAATATCATAAATCAAAGATCTAGGTGAGCTGTAAGCTCGTACAGCCACCTAAGCAATAAGAAAAGCCTAAAGACCCTAACTTTGATCGATGCTTTTTTTCTAATTATTCTAATGACGTTTAGCTCACAGTCAGTCAGTGTGGTTATAAAAGATCGTGGACGTACCTGTGATAAATGAGATTACAGTCTCTGCTCAATTTTTTTTTTATTGCTTAGGTGGATGGACGAGCTCACAGCCCGCCTGGTGTTAAGTGGTTACTGGAGCCCATAGACATCTACAACGTAAATGCGCCACCCACCTCGAGATATAAGTTCTAAGGTCTCAGTATAGTTACAACGGCTACCCCACCCTTCGAACCGAAACGCATTACTGCTTCACGGCGGAAATAGGCGGGGTGGCGGTACCTACCCGTGCGGACTTCCAAGAGGTCCTACCACCAGTGATTACGCAAATTAAAATCTATTGCTAATAATGAAAGTTTAAAACCACAACGCGCTTGTATAGAAATAGGCGGGATAGTGACAGTCATACGTTCTCCCAATGCGTCATTGGAAGCACGGAAGTTCATAGTTTCGAGTTTAATACTTACTTTTATTTATGTATATTATTATATTAATACGTGAAGCAAAAACTTTGTACCCCTTTTTACTAAAATTGCGCGGACGGAGGAGTATGAAATTTCCCACACTTATAGAGAATATAGAGAAGGAGTGCAGAATGTTCATATTTTTTTGAATTATGCATGAAAAATACATTAAATCATTTAAAAAAAAAACATTACACACACTTCCATGTATTTGACACGACACAGTATACATTTAAACTCTTTGTTTATTGTCAAACTTTTTTATTGTGTTAAGTCTGTGGTGAAATTGAGAATAGATTAATATTGTTTGTCTATAATATTATTTTTCTACAGGGTAGTCTTGGCGAAATCTGTGATTAAAAAGTATAATAGTATTTGCTAATAGAACCAATAACAATGTTCAAACTTATTTCAAATAATTATAGTCGAATTTCGACTACTGCTGTCGTGTCGAAGTTGAAAAAAACAAACCGTTTTCCTCTATTTACATAAGCCTATTTGTGTCGAATTCTTTTTATCATTGACCTATTGATGCAAATAAAACTATTAATCTAATCAGCAAAATAGTTGTTATTTTTCCTTTTGTGAAAAATGAACAAATGCTTTGTGAATATTTTTGTAATAGTTATCCTCATTTGGCATAACAACGCGTTAGATTTAATTTTGTTCGTCAAGTTCGTGTTGGGGAACACTTGAGGGTTCCGGATTATTTTAAACATAATAAAATAATATTATTTATTAATAATAATACTATTTATACTATTAGGTTGGTAAAAGAGTGTTAACTATGAATGTGGAAGGCTGTAAAGGAATAGACCTAAGAAGAAATAGATGGATTGCGTGAAAGACGATATGTGTAAGAGGGGAGTGAGCGAAGAAATGGTATATGATAGAGGAGTATGGAAGGAGAAAACATGTTGCGCCGACCCCAGGTGACTGGGAGAAGGGCAGGAGAATGATGAATAAAATAATACTATTTATTTTTCATTTAATCCCAAGCAGCGTATAATCTAACATAACTCATTTAATCAAATACTATACACATGAATATATTATAACTTCTTTTATTTGTAATATATTATTTTGTTTAAAAATATCTATAGCAATTTTCTTTGAAAGTTTATATTGAGTTCGATCATAAATAATCTTAATATGTTTTATGGCGTTTCACACGTTATTTGAGAATTTAGAGATTGAAAACACACTTTCATGACTTTAATAGATTGTAATGCAAGAAATGATAATATATATTTATTAATAAATAAATAAATAAGTAGATACTACCAAATTTTATATACAGCATAATGGAGCACATACATCTTTTCACAATTGCATTTCGAAATGACCAAAATCGGCAAGTAAACTATTCGTTGAACTACAGAAAAACACATACAATAGAATAAAGTGAAATTAAAAGTGCTCGTTCGGTCACGATGTTTTTTATTTTTTTTATTGCAAAAAATGGCTGGACGAGCTCACAGCCCTCCCAGTGCTAAGTGGTTACCGGAGCCCATAGATATCTACAACGTAAATGCCGCCACCCACCTTGAGATAGGAGTTCTAAGGTCTCAGTATAGTTACAACGGCTGCCCCATCCTTCAATTCGAAACGCATTACTGCTTCACGGCAAAAATAGGCAAGATGGTGGTACCTACCCGTGCGGACGCACAAGACGTCCTACCACCAGTTTTGCTTAAGGTATACCTACGAAACGTCCCGGGGATTTCCAATAATCAAACAAAGACACGGAATAATATAAAACAATGTTATTTTTAATTTAGACTCATCACTATCAGTCTAACCTCTTGACTCCCTCACGGATAAGCAAGCAGAGGTCAGCGAATTTCAGTGCACACAGTCAGGTAATAATATTTTAATGTATCTACTTTATTTTTCCTTACTTTTTTACGCCTTCGTAATTTTAAACAATCTATGTTCGGTTGTTATGAAGTGGTGCGCGCAACCTTAGATTAATAATGCATGCTCTTTGGTGGAGTAGTTAGCGCTCTTGACCGTTGCGCCCAGGGACGTGGGTTCGATTCCCACACCGGGCAAATATTCGTGTGACGAATAAGTTTGTTTGCTCTTCGTCTAGGTGTTTATTTTCTATGTATGTATTTATTAAAAATAAAAAAGCAACTGTATAAGTATGTATGTCAGTCTCTGGTACCCATAACACAGGCAATCCTGAACTGAAGTCGGATGACCGTACGCGATTTGTTTTCAGATCGTAGTGTTCTCATAGTCACCTTCATATATGAGAAGTTCAATTGTATTATATTATGACTGTCCCGGATTTAGAAACGGTCGAAAAACACAGCCCACTGAGTTTCTCGCCGGATCTTCTCAGTGGGTCGCGATTCCGATCCTGTGGTAGATTCGGCGAAACATTACTCTTGCTAGAGCTAGTGTTAGAAAATTCTCTTAGGCTGAACCCGTGAGCTCACCTGCCCGTATGGGCATAGCTGGAATAGCCTCTTAAGCTACGAGCGAATAGGCAGGAAAAAAAGGTCGAAAGATTACTTCGCGGCAGAAATAGTCGGGACCCAGGTATACGGAATTCGTCCGGAAACCAACAGACCTTACTTGGTCCTCGGGAACGTTTCCAATACCCCTGAACTTTTAGAGCACTGAATGTATTACGATATTTATTTTCCATAAATAACTCCGTTATTAATTGTCAGTATATCTATCTAAGTTAAATAATCCTTCTTAACTAAGTATTTCTAAAGAACGATCGTGTTGAAGGCTTCTTCTTGTATACGTTACTGGTTTCAATCCGAAATTACTCGAATACGAACATGCCAGATTATTTTGATGTTATAATACGTTATGTCATGGGCATTGTTATCACGTTGCTACGCATGAATGTCAGAGATTATGTCGTTAATTCCTTTCAATAACGAGACGAAAACAGAAGTATTTTTTTCTCGAAATGCGTTTTAGAATTTATTGATAATGATAAAGTGTTTGTTGGTCAAAGCAAATAGCCCGTGTGCATTAAAAATATTAAAAAGGCGTATGCTTTAAAAAATATTGAAGGCAAGCAAAGGAATAAAACATATCTGTGTGTAACAGAAATTCGAATATAACTCAGCTTAGAAATAATGTGTGTTTTTAATATAATATAAGATGTGAAGATTGGAGAAATTGCAATCTTTTCTTATAATTTTTTTATTATTGTTATTAAATACTGATTATTATTACATACAAATGTATTTCAACCGTTTCCAGACTTTGGCTAGTAATACCTGACACGATAGAACTAAATAAACATTTAGGTAATTTTATTTTCGTGCAGCCCACAATTTAGTAGTCTTTTTATTAATCCTACCTATGCTGATAGTCTTGAGAGGCTATATCAGCGTTACCCTACTGTGTAGGTGAACTCTCGGGGCTCAAACTGTAGATGTTGCTAACACTGGCTAACAATAGCCCTAGCAAGAGCAGTGCTTCGCAGAATCTACCACGGGATCAGAAACGCGACCCATTAAGAGGCTGTGTCTATGGGTTAGTTTACTCGTCGAGCCTTTCGTCGCAAGCGACGGGTTCGGCGAGGACGGTGACCGGGTAGTATAGTCAAAAATCAAGTGTGTCTTGGAATTTACTGGCTCGTGTGTCACGAAATTCGAATTAACGAAAAACCAAATTAATGCTTAGATAAGAAAGAAATAAAGAGATTTTTGCTTCAAGTTGCTCATTACCATTTCACAACTGGGAACGAACTATAACGCCCTGTAGAACATTTCGAGGGGTGAAAGAGTATTTGGTTTAAGAGACATTTCGCTCAATAAGCAATATTTATCATTGTAATTAAAGGTGCGTTTTATTAGGTATTAGCATCAACAATTCGATTTTTTTAATTGAATCTCAATTAAGTTTGCTCCATTCAAGTAGCCGAAGAAGTTTTTTCGTTATGATCATCATCATCATCATCATAGTCGGTTGCTCTTAGCAGAGCAGTCGTGGTTATGTGGAATTCTTGTTTATTAAAGCCTTGACAGATGTTTTGCGAACATAGTTTGCGAACTGAGGCTTGGCGCACGCACTCGTTAAGTGGCGGTTTCATTAAGGTCTTTCACTTGATCAGTCCAGCGCATGGGGATTCGTCCACGAGATTGACCCTACCCTGAACAACAAGTTTCTCGATAGACTCTGCTGGCCGTTGTGATACGTGTCCAAAACATCGAAGAATCCTGGATTGCACTGTTATTGATATTGTTATTCAAATATTAAACTTTAAATGGCTTTCCTGTAGAGTTGCAAAAATGTCGCTTAAATCAAATAGTCTTACACTCCTCGATATGTTAATTATAGAAAATTACAAAATAGTCCCGCATCAAATTGCAGTTCTGTTTAAGACCGGTATTTCATTAAAATTACTTAGGTACTAATTTAAATTGATTTACTTACAGAAGTCGAATACATCAAACAAAATTTCTTCGACGGTTTTCACACCGCCTACGCCGGAGTCGGTCGGATATAACAACTTCTTAAAAAACCTGTAATGGTATCACTGTATTTTATATATATGTGTATAAAATAATGAGACGAGGGATGCAACTTACATATTTTTTTTAGGGATTATATGACCTGGTAACTAAGACCTTTAGGTCATGTCTTATTTTAATTTATATTCTTATTTTTATGAAAAATGATAATATGGAGTGAAGTGAAATGAAATGAAGATGATTAATTAGAGACATTAATCAACTGGGATGAAATTAAATGAAATGAGATGAGATGATATGGGATGAAGTATAATCTCAATAAAATAGTGGTCATTTATTGAGATTTTTTCAGTGGACTTTTTGGAGGATTCCGAGAAGTTAAGTCCAGCCAGCCAGCTTTGTTTCATTTTCCCACATTTGTGCACTTTCACAGATATTAAATAGTTAATAAACCACCGTTATTACACATTTAAACCTGAAGAAACACTAAATAGACAAAATAAATAAAAATCACACAAATTCACTCCTTGCGTTCCCGCCAAAAAGTTTGCAACTTACATTAATTCGTAAATAATACAAAGTGAATACAGGGTGTGTTTTTATCTGGGGGTGAATTGTAACTTGTAGGTTTTCAAACGCCCTAAAGAGATAGATTTTTTTGAAAAATATCATACATGTGTGATGCCTAATTTTAATAGTTAGAATGCCTCTATTGTCTTTACATTTCAAATCTCGGAAGAAATTTAAAACTGCAACTCGAAGGGTACATTGTTGCTGGATAAAACAATGGAAATATTTTTGTTATGTACATTTTTTCAATACAGCATTTATTATTGGAAACAATTCAACATAATAGTATCGTTCTGCTATTGAAAAGATTTTCATTAAATAAGATTCAATAGAATTTTCAAATTAAGTTTTATTGTAGTTTTATTCTTGACCGGTGTCTTGACGTGTCGTGTAAAAACTTATTAAAAATGTTTGGTTTAAAGTACCTTACCAATCAATGTACCAATGCCCGTGATTGTATTTAGGCTTTCATTTTTATCTGACTCATTTGCGTAAAAATTCGAAATACTCAAAATTCCCCCGCAACAATAATGCGGTAACGAAAAAAAAAACACGTTATTATGTAAATTTCATCTCCCGTTTCGATGATTTTTAGGTACAACGAGAATGAATCTCGTTTCCGATTCTAATGCGAATCGAAAAAGAAAAAAAATAATGTTTNTAATTGTATTTAGGCTTTCATTTTTATCTGACTCATTTGCGTAAAAATTCGAAATACTCAAAATTCCCCCGCAACAATAATGCGGTAACGAAAAAAAAAACACGTTATTATGTAAATTTCATCTCCCGTTTCGATGATTTTTAGGTACAACGAGAATGAATCTCGTTTCCGATTCTAATGCGAATCGAAAAAGAAAAAAAATAATGTTTATTTTATTTTACGACGAGACGTGAACGAAATTATTCAGAGTATTTACGATGTGACATTCAAATTGGATTCAAATCGTGATGTTCGCCAATGCTGGTTATTGGACGGAATTGATCCGCGCGGTCGCTCGGAAAGAATAAATAATACGTTTGCCGTTGGAAAATCAAAATTAGACATTAAATAATATAATATACCATACATACTATGGAATGTTCTCGAATTCAATTTGTGTCTTTTATATGTAGATGTAGTAAAACTTTTATAGTATCAACACGATTCTGTTTGTTGAAACACACTTAAATAATCTATTATCTTCTTGTTCATAGAATTAGAAGCATAAAATGGGATTTCTATATTTTAAACTCCTATTTCTTTAATAATTCAAGGTCTAATTGTTTATAAATATAGAAAAAAAGCTATCTAATAAATTTAGGCTATAGGTCTTGAACACAAGAAAAAAAAACAGACACCAAACAAAATAGAAATGGAATTTTGCAAAGATTAAATTCGATTCTCGTTCTAATATCAACATATACTTGAATGTATACTGGAAAATTATAACGATATAAATTGGTAACATTCTAGATTCTTCCTGAACGACTCCGGTGAAGAGTCAGGATATTCGTCAAACAGCCCGCAGAAAATATCACCCGTAGTATTGTACTGTAACGGCTCGGGTCGAAAATGTTTGTTGAAAGAAAAAGCTATAAGTTTTTGTTGATATATATATGTATTTTTTAAATAATAATTCTCAACGATCGTTTTGATTCGATCGGCATGTTTTAATTTTTTAGTACGATTGTTGGTTTCATTAATAAATTAATGTTTAAATGTTATTCATGTGGTTTCATTGGTAATGATGATTATGACGTACCGTTTGGAATTTGGGTCTACAGAGGGACTTCGGCTATCCTTGTGTATTAGTACTGCTTACCCGTGGAGTCTGCTCTGGGGAATTGATTAAGACAATTCTGTCGTCTCGTTTTTACCAACTTACCGCCCGTCACATGAGCAGAGTTTATCCAGCCTACCAGGAATTACAGAGTTGATCCATAGTGCATACCATATCAGTGGAGTCCATGTAATGTTTTACTTCATCCCGACCCACCCTTGGTGGATTTAGGGACTCCGGTCACCACTCACGTCGAACCGATCGAACCGAGAGGTTCTGTTACATATGCCCCTCAATAATAACGCAATATAAATAATAATGCAGAATAAGGCATTCCTGAACGCATCGTCTCTATATAAGGACGATTTGTTGCTAAAGCGCGGCACTAGCCCGGTGACACTGATATGGCCTCTCTAGACAGTCTAGACCATCAGCTTAGGTAGGAAAAAAAGCGAAAGAAAAAGCGCTGCAGAACAGAATTGGCTTAAGTATCGGAGACACACATCGTTTGTACTGCCTATTTCTTTTCTATACTAATATCATAAAAATATTTGTTTGTTTGTTTGTATTGAATAGGCTCCGAAACTGCTGAACCGATTTGATAAAATATTCTTTACATCGCGTGCCCTGCGAAAACTATTGATAATAGAATAAAATAATGTATTTTACAAAAAGCGTCGCAACTGCATTTGTCTAACTATTATAGTTATGCCACAATAAATGTTCTTTTATTAAAAAATAAAACAACGTCAAATATCGTTGAAATTTTTATTAAAGACCCGAGCGGAGCCGGAGCGGGCCGCTAGTATAAAATAAACTCAGTATCAGTCACAGCTTCCTATTTTTATAAAGAGCTCCTGGACCCACCTCGTAACAGTTCAACGTGCCACTTAACCCATAGATATAAACCATTGATTTCCTCGCCGCATCTTCTTAGTGGGTCCGATCCTGTAGTAGATTCAGCGAAGCCCTGTCCTTGGTAGGGCTAATGGAAGCAATTTCTTTCAGGCTTAGCCTCGTGAGCTTTCCTACGTCTTCGGTGAAGCTAACCGTTTGAGGTGACTAATAGTAGCTAGGGAAAAAAATCTTTTTTACAATTTAAGCAAATTTTGGACTAGACGTTTAACTATATTATGTCATTAATCCTCAACGCTACGATCCGTCACTGCTTACGATGGAGGCTCCCTTATATTATGTAGGTATGTGTATTTGGTATATCGTAATAGTTTAACGCTTCATCGATTCAACTGTCAAATATAACATGTAACAATTATGTGTAGTAATCGTGTTACTGTTGTTTAAATACAAAGTTGTGTCTTTAATTAGCAGTTATATCAGAAATGTTTTTGAGTAGATTTGTATAGCTGGAAATCTATGCTGTTCGTATACCTTTGACAAATCAGTAGAACCCTTAACTCAATGAGTGATCATGAGAAAAGACACGTAAATATAATTTTCGAAATGCATTAAACGAATGTACGATGTAACCAGATGTACAGTATTAGGGATGTGATTCGCAAGAAAAAACATACCAGTAATTACTTAAAAGATTACGGTTGAAGTATCAAATTGTATTAGATATTTTCATTCATTAAAATTTATTAGCGGAAGATTAAGTCTCGATCCTTCGTCATCGGCCTTTAATTATTGTATTGATTGAATGTCGAATAAGTTTAATATAGGATATGTATATTAATGATACTATATTACTGAAAGATACTAAAGGCACTCGAATAACTGATAGTTTTATTGGAGATTAGCTGAAGGATAATATGTTTCTCACGCGAATTTTACAGTAAAATTGGAATAAGAACAGGAAAAAAAAATTACTATAAAAAAATCGGTTGTCTGTAAAGTCGGTTTACTGACGATACGTGACAACATCATAAGAAAATACGCCTCAGAGCGAGGTAACGCCGCATGAGTCATGTTTTTTCGTGCGTGCAGCCGGCTCTATCGAATTATAAGACTTTGTCACGTCAAAAAATAAGAACGTGTGTTTCACATTAACGCACTTATTATACAAGGCTTCCGTTGCATTTCAGTTTCAACTTAATGTGTCAGAGAAAGGAGTATAGTCAGTATTAAAACACCGATGTTAAAAATTTGTAAAATTTATTGATGAAGTTGTAAGGGATCGATTTTGACGTAACGCTCTTTAAGCGTGTATTGGCAATACTCCCTTATTCTGCTGGTAGCCGCCGCTGGACTCTTGGTGTCCGTGCACGGAATGAGCTCCCAAATTATTGAATTTCTCGAGTTGTTCAGCCCCGCCTTTGTAGCCCTTCTGCAGGAATTCTCCCTGTGGGAATACCTCACGTTAGTTAACATTGTTGGCATGGTTCTTGCGGTAAGCTGTGGTTTTGCGTTGGCATTGAAGTATTTAGTCTAAATCATGGATTTGACATTGTTAGAATTTAGGGAATACGTGTCAATCATTCAGGGAACGTTTTGTGTCATTCATCGATCGACCTTATTCATATATCGAATTGTAACTTTGATTTGAACACATTGTAACATAATATCGTTGTAAAATTGTTGCTATTTGCTTTTGACTTTCGTACAAGATATTTCCACCATTATAGTAATATAAGTAGTGCGCTTATTGGTTAAATGCTGTATCAATCCAAAATATATAATATATATTTGAATAGATGAATCACAGATTCTTTATTGAGATAAATGTGTAGTGCTCTGTTTCGTTTTAATGTTTACTTAAAATTCTATCGTTTTCATTTTATTTACGTCAAAATAGGCCAAGAAGTTCTCTAGATCCGACTGTAGTTATATAAAGTATAATTATGAATAACGATGCCCATCGTCTTGCGTATAAATAAGTATAATAGTAGAGATTTGTCGATGTGGTAATTTCACACAAAAACTACTGGATATACCTATCGATAAAATGTTTAGATCAGAAAAGTCGTGATGAAGTAACTGCGTGCGTTTACAAAAGTACCCTATAGATCGGGTTTCCAGTTTTCTGAATCTCGACATGGTTTGGTATTGCTAAGCAGTTACTTAATTTCACACGGACTTAGTCGCAGGTATAGCTAGAGAGACATAAAATTTTCAATATCCAATAAGGAATAAGTAAGATGAGATATAGCCCCGTGTCTTCACAATATTACCCGTAAAATTGTCTACACCTGTAAGAAGAGTTTTAAGCGTTCTCTACTCATCGTGATATCTGACATCAAGCAACTTTTTTTTTCTCCTATTTAACCTGATAGCCTTGAGAGGCTATCAGCTTCAGCTATCAGGCTATCAGCTGAGGCTCAAACCGGGAGTGTTGTTGACACTGGCCCTAGCAAGAGCAGTGCTTCGCAGTGTCTACCACCGGATCGGAAACGCGACTCACTGAGAAGACCCGGCGAGGAACTCAATGGGCTGTGTCTGTGGGTTAGTTTACTCGTCGAGCCTTCGTCGTGAGCGACGGGTTTGGTGAGGACGGTGACCGATGCTTGAGGTGCCTAAAAGCACCGTTAATGGATCGGGAGGATCCATAATGACGTAAGGCAAGCGATAATACTGATGTTATGCATGACGCATGATAGGTAACATTACAATAACACCACAGGTAGATACCAGGTTAGGTACCTGAAACGTTTGTTTAATTGAATTGAAAGCGCTGGCGAATTATCGTCTGACCTGACCTTTCAAACTTTTTGATTTTAAACGAAATGTCTGCAATCAATTCATTATTATCAATATTATGTGTTCCTTGACTTTATTTACGCATCTCCTTTCGCAGGGGAACTCCTTGATGTTATCAAACATCACCTAAACTTTTAAATGTTATGCTCATTACTCTTTTATAAGTGCTTATATGTGCTGATAAAATTGAAGTTATTTTTTAAATTTCAATTGTCTGATTTATCACGAAATAATTTTTTAAATTATAAAATTACATTGCTATATTGACGTAATATTCTAAACAACACAATTCGATAATATTGTATTATTATAGAATCGTGACATTCGTCAATAATTAGGGTTAATATTATGAACCATATTATGACGTTGTATAATAGGGGCATAAGCAATTATAATAAAAAAAATACAGATTTGCGGTCTGCATTTTTTTATCTTTAAGTTGTGTATGTTCGACCGTTACACAAAATATATGTATTACATTATGTAAAATGTTAAGAATCAAATTATTTACCTTGTTCGCTTTAGAATCGTCGATTTTCTGTTCGGAAACGTGATGCCCTTCTTTTCCTTGAGCATTTGCGTCGAGGAGTTTCTCTTCGTGAGCACCTTTGAAACCTTGCTGTGCCTTTTCACCAAACGAGCCAGCGTTCTGTCCGGCAATCTTATGGTCCGCTTCGTCGTGAGCTTCATCGTAAAAGCTCTCCGTTTTTTCTTCTTCATTCTTGCTACTCGAAGACTTGAAGCCTTTGCTGACATGTCCCTTTTTGTGACTCTTTGCTTTCTTCAGTGATTCTTCGTTGGCTCCTGTAATAGATAGAAAGTAATTTTAGCGCTATTACGAAATAACACTTTGAGACAAATTAAATAAAAAAAGAACTTGCCGTGTTTATCAATCTTCTGTCCGCCTTCGTAGAATTTTTCATCACCAGCGGCCTTTTTCTTTGCTTCCTCGTCTTTGTAGAAACTTGATTCTCCTTTCTCAGCCTTAGCAGCTGCGGCAGCCTGTTGAAATCCTTCTTGACCGTGCTTAGTTTCTTCTTCAGCTTTTTTTTCGATTTTTTCAATGTTTTCACCAGCCCCTTTCTTCTGAGCGGCATCATAGGCATTTTTATCGACATAACCAGCACCGATCTGAGCCCCCAAAATAGGATGGTAGAGAAGCCCTCCTCCTAATCCTCCGCCAAGTCCTATACCTCCAACTCCAAGGCCTCCAATACCTTGGTTTATAAGTCCAACACCGTTACCGATTCCGATTCCGCTGCCAAGTCCTCCAACACCGCCACCGATGCCGCCAACGCCTCCCACACCTCCGAGTCCAATACCTAAACCTTGTCCAAGTCCAAGACCACCCAATCCAATTCCACCATAACCTAATCCTTGGTTAAGGCCGATTCCCCCAACACCGACTCCTCCAATGCCACCCACTCCTGTCACTGTATTTAAGACAGTAGATGCAGCACCTTCGATGTGTTCTGGATAGTCTTCGTTCTCTTCAACTTCGTAACTGTTAGATAGCGGCAGTCCAGTCTTCACATCAGTTCCTATGGCATCCAAGCGTTCTTTAACATAATCATAGGGAGTTTTCGTGTCCGATAATTCGACTCTGTGGAAAGTCGCTGTCGAAAGACCGATCGAAGCGAATATCAGAATTGTCAACATCGTGAAATGTGTTTGTCACCGTGCAACGACTGATGACATTTCGTTATTGCACCTGTCTTTTATAGTAAGGTTAAATTCGGTGGAACAAAGTCGTGTGATAGTTTTCGCGCCACGTCTGGGGCCCGTATCCGGTCGTCCCCTTCCTGTCGTATTGTTTAAACTGATCTAATGAGAACGGTACTGCAGAAATAAAACAATGAGTCTGGTCGAAGACCTTGCTTTCCAGTTCATTGGTGCCGGCAGTGGGGCGTTCGTTTACGCAACAACAAAAGCCGCTATGGGTGACGTTTTTTCTCTATGATTTTTGCTTCAGCCCGCCGATTCTGGAAAGTATCTAAGAATTTTTTGTTTGTAAAATCGACACGTTTTCATTTCGGTTTATTCATAAGTTCGGAATCTATTATGTCAGGAAACCTTTCCACATCAGAATCGAAACCCAGTTTTAAGTCGTTTTGATTGTTGTACACCAAATCACTATAAGAACCGAAACATTTAAGATTATATACTGAACTATCATTAGAAATGTCAACTCTAGCATTGACTCACCGAAATCTTATCGATTTAGTGTGTCGATTGAATGGAAACAAATCGATAATTGGTCGCAAGAATTATTAAACGATTGATTAATGTTTTTTTCACCAAATTATAATATTAGTCGTTATGGCCTTGGTTCACTTGGACGATTTCACGTCATTGTTTTCTTACGGTTCAAATATATGTCGAGGGCTTAATAAAGGTTACTGCTCAAGCATTATGACGGGTGTCAATCAATAAATGAGTCACGTACTCTATTTCAGAAAAAAAGTCCCTCGAGTGAGATACGTTAGTGTTTAGCTCTTGTGGCAGTGAAGTTTTTGCGATTGTGTTTTTTTTTGTTTCCTCTATGAAGGTAACAAATTTTCAACAACAAGCGCTTAACAAAGTATAAATTACACTAATTCGTGAAAGTAAATATTCTAAAACTGAAATATTATTTCAGAAAACATCTACAATAATGAATTTTACTATAACCATACCATATATACTATATACTAAACCAATATACTTAACCATATATACTAAACCAATATATTATGTTATGAGATATCAATCAAACATTTTGTTACGATTCTACATGTACTTCAGATATATTTTAAACGTCGGCGTCGGATTAAATAAATTTTAATATTAATTCGCTGTCTTTTATTCATCTTTTTATACGATGCATAATATATTAATTCATTTCTTTTCTCTTCTGTCATTTATTTGGGTGAACGTCTTGAACAATGACCAATCTAAAAATTGCTTACAACAAAATTTCAAGCTTGTATGTGTTAAATAGTAAAGTTCTGACAATTACATTAGTGTCATTAACAAAATACTTTATGAAAATATATTGTTTGTGACCAGATAGTTTCAAAGGTGTTTCAAAGGGCTTTCTGCCGCGAAGAGTTTGTTTGTTCAGTATTAAAGTAATGAGGCCAACGTTGTTGTTGCCCACCTTGAGATACAAGGTGGGCAACATCGCAAACTATGCATAACTAACTAACTATAAATATCAAAGTAAGACTGAGTGATGGCATTTACGTTGTAGATGTTGATGGGTTTCAGTAACCACTTAACACCAGGTGGGCTGTGAGCTTGTCCACATATCTAAGCAATAAAAAAAGGCAAAATGCTTCGTTTATATCATTTCAATTTGATATATCGTTTCCAATTTTATATAAAATGTTGCTAAACGATTATGTTCACTATATCCTTTCTCATAAGGGTATTTTTCCTATCGAGATAAAACGTCCCGGACTTTATTCTCAATTGCTGCGAAAGGCGCCGGATTTTTAGATTCAAAGACGGCGGTACGTTTTGATCCCGAATATAAATTTGAGTAAAGCCGGCATTAAAGTATTTCAAGTTTGTAGTCTAGAAATGCGCTGAGGTTTATAGATGGAAAATCTAAATGGAAAGTCGAAAAGTTGATCTTTCAAACTCGTGAAAGTCACGTTTACACATTATATGAAGTTTTTATCTAAAAGTTTGTGTAATTAATTTTTCACGTCGATGGAACTGGAACTTGCGACGGTAGGAAGTGGTTATTGTCGTTCATAGACTGGATATACCAGGGACAGAAACATTTCTTGGTATTAACATGACAATGATCTCGCAAAATCTTTAGTTCAGACCTTCATGCTCTGAGGAATTATTCGAGATAATACCCTATCACTTTTTTACCATCTCACCTCCCGCCACTGGAGCAGAGTTCATCCATACTATCTTGAACTCTGCGTTCATCGACAGTGCTTTTCCAAAGATCTTTTCTGCCACGTACCATCCGGGTTTGGACTGAACCCCCCTCCACGGTGTGCCTCGAGCGTTTTGACTTGTCCTTCTTCAAACGAGGCTTGCGGAGAGTACTTAATAGTAGACAGTGGCTTGGCTCTGCCCCTGGCATTGCTGACCTCCATGAGCGACGGTAACCGATTGCCATCAGGAGAACCGTATGCTCGTATGCCTGCAAAGACAGTAAAAAAAAACTTTTTACAAGTGGTAGGAAGTTTTGTGAGGTACCACCATCCTGTGTACTTCTGCCGTGAAGCAGTAATGCGTTTCGGTTTGAAGGATGTGGCAGCTGTTGGATTAAAAAACTAAGACTTAGAATTCATGTCTATGGGCATAGGTAGATGATTTGAGACCAGGCTGCGAAGTCATCGAACCGTTTAAGCGATAAAAGTTAATGAAGAAACACTATGGAGATTGTTGAATTGAATTTCAACAAAGACAGTTAATAATCTTAATTATCCTATGTTTACATAGATATTTATCATCGTTTTCAAATGCCGGCGATGGGTTTATATCTGCTATGATAAATACAATACGACATGACACTGTATTCGCTTGTTTGCGATATTACGTCTCAAAGGATCAACAATACGACTGATTTATATAGCAGATAGTGACACTAGCAAGTCTTGATCCCGGGAAAATGTAGTTGCTTTATTTTTATTAAATTCCAGTTAAAATGTGATCACGTCCAATAAATATGTAACTGAGATCTAAGTGATTGCTTTACGACGGAAACAGGCGGGATGCGGGATGTTAAGCCCGACTCGTGCAGACATATCCTACAAGAAGTATCTGATCGATAGGTATGAAGGCGGCATTAGATTGAAGTTTTCTATACTAATATTATAAAGAAGGAATATTTATTTGTTTGTTTGTATTGAATAGGCCCCGAAACTACTGAACCGATTTGAAGAATTCTTTCACTGTTTGGAAGCTACACTATTCCCGAGTGACATAGGGTATAATCTTTTTTGAAAAATATTAGGGATCCTTACTAAAACTCCAATAATGTAACCCAAGGTGTAAAAAATAATACGTAAAATATAATTTACATCGCATGCCCTGCGAAAACTATTGATGATAGAATAAAATAATGTACATACTACGACTTTGTAGAACACATTATTATTTACAAAAAGAGCCGTGACAGCATATGTCTATGTCTATTGCGGCATAACTAATAGGTTGGGGGAAAAGTTACTTCGCATTTTTTAAGAAAATTCACATCGTTTTTTAATATAGTTTATTTACAATTAAACTAAAGTATGTAGGTACCATTTTGTTCGATAACTTTTTGCCAGCTTGTCGTTTATAAAATTCGAATATATTGTCTAGCATTTTTATGAAAATACGTACAGCTAATCGAAACAAAAAAAAGACATTTCTCAATTATATACTATTTGCAATGTTTAACTTTTTGAATATAAATGTTTATAAGTAGCGAATGAATTGTATTGCACACTGACAAAAAGTGCCTGAACAAATTTGAATAATATAAATAACTAGAGGTCCCGCAGTAGTCGAAATTCGACTATAATTAATTGGAATTGTAAGTTTGTACACTATTATGATTGTATTTTATACTTCTATAATCACAAATTTCGCCATGACTACACTATAAAAAATATTAACAAAGACAAATAATATTTATTCTATTCTCAATTTGACAACAAACGTCAAGAACAAAAGTTTGACAATAAATAGTATGCATGCGTGTGTGCGTCAAATACATGGTATGTAGTGTGTGTAATGTTTTCTTTATTGATTTAATGTATCTTTTATGCATTATTTTAAAAAAATATTAGCGTTGTGCACTTCTTCTCTATATTCTCTATAAGTGTGGAAAATTTCATACTCCTCCGTCCGCGCAATTTTCGTAAAAAGGGATACAAAGTTTTTGCTTCACGTATTAATATATAGATAAACGTTCGCGTAAACTCCTAAACAAAATAAATAGCAACAAGTCCATCGTTTGTAATACGCCAGATTATTTCAGAGGGCGCGGCGTAAATAGTGCTTTGTCAAAATTTTAAATTGCAATTAGGAAGTTTTACAAAGACAATTTCTGCCCGGGATTCTGTCAAAGGCATTTCCAGAAAGTTAAGACGGTGGCTGTGGATAGGAAAATGTTTGTGAAATGGGTTAATCGCTAGCGGCAATGTAGTAATATCTTATGTAAGACTACCTACAAATATTTGTATAGTAACAAATTATATTTTTGTCATTGTTCTTGTTTTGTTGTCTTTCATAATCTCAAGTCATTTTAATAATGCTTCAAATAAAAGTATGTATATCTTTAGTCAGTAGTCTGTAATACAGACACTCTTTTGTTTTGTATTCTTTTAACTGTAAGTATAGGTGTACTGATTTAAATAAATTAATAAAAAAATATTTAAAAAAAGATATTGCGTAAATGGACAAAGAAGCATAGATATAAAACGCCTCCACCCGCATTCCTACACGAGATCGAATACTCCATTGCATTGTGTACTGGCTGTCACACCGCCACTTCATAGTCAGAATCTTGGTAATATTTTTTCTATGATTGAGGGATCACTGGTGGCTCAGAGGCCATTTCAGTGTCACGAGGACAGGTGGGCGAGCAAGGGCGCAGCCAGGTGGGGCGGGATTTGATGAATTAACTACCGGATCGGAATCGCGACCCACTGAGAAGATCCAAC